CATTGTTACTAAACAAAATCATGCACTGATCAAAAATTTTTCACATACGTACCTACATACACACACCCCCCCACACACACCCACACGTACGTACAAACAAACAAACAAACAAACATTTCAATATTGTAACCTCCAAATGAAACACCACAGTAACCGAATTGGACACGGAAAGAGGCTATGGGCGGTGCACTGGTCAGAAATTTCCCCCGCCATCGCAGTGGTGTCCATCGGGAACTTTACTCCACATCAAATCAAAATCTTACGGCGTTCAACCTTTTTGCTGTCCGGGCTCCTACAACTCTGAACTTTTCCCCATCTACAACCCCCAGCTATCCCTTATCAACATAAAAGTAGTAGATCCACTTTACGACTTTGATATTTACAATTGCCTTATTGACCAGAGTTGTGAATTGGTAGCTAAAAATTTTTCTAGTCCCTTCATTAACGAACCGCTCTGCCAGGGTAGAGAGAATGTGTCGTTTTATATGCAGATAGCGTTCGAATGTTCGAAACCAGGTGGGTTCTATTCTTATTTTGTTTCTTCAAAGTACTAGTTAACGTCAGAAGTTATTAATTTTGAAGATTTTATAAATGAAATTCAATTTTTTTCCAACGCAAGTTTTAATACCTATTGGCAATGGAGATTCTACTAACGCTGCGCCTTCGGAAAACAAAGCGGCTCTGGTCTTAGGAGGTAGGAAATTTTTCATTAACATTCATTAACTAATTTGATTGATTGATTGATTGATTGGTTGGTTGGTTGGTTGGTTGGTTGGTTGTTTGATTGATTGATTGATTGATTGATTGATTGGTTGGTTGGTTGGTTGGTTGGTTGGTTGTTTGATTGATTGATTGATTGATTGATTGATTGATTGATTGGTTGGTTGGTTGGTTGGTTGGTTGGTTGGTTGGTTGGTTGATTGATTGATTGATTGATTGATTGATTGATTGATTGATTGATTGATTGATTGATTGATTGATTGATTGATTGATTGATTGATTGATTGATTGATTGATTGATTGATTGATTGATTGATTGATTGATTGATTGATTGAATAGTTAATTAATTAATTAATTAATTAACAATATGTTATTTCGGTAAATTCAAATGTAAATGAACAAATAACAAAACTTGATGACTATTGGTGATTGGTCATCGTCCCTTCAACAATTCTTTCACTCATTCATTCATTCAGGTAATTGTTGAAACAGACTCAACAATTACCAGTTATTTATTTAATTAATTAATTATTATGTAATTAAATAATTAATTATTAATTAATTAATTTTTCAGCCATTGGTACAGCATTCGCCATCTTCTTCCTCCTGTTACTCATTGCCTTTTTGCTCTACTACTTCGTCGTTCTCAGGTTGTAGTTGGTGCTTCTGTTGAAACATAATCCATCAGCTCTATTAGATATTACGTCGTTATCATTTGTCATCATTGATAAAATATTATCACGTATAATAATCACATGATAAGATAAGTCATCAGTCATCGTCCCTTCAACAAAAATCCCAGCATCATCTTCATCCATAAATTCGCTCATCTCCCATATAATCTCAATCGTACAGTTATCTGTATATCAATCTTTTTTTCATTCTCACTTATTCATTCATTTATTCTTTCACTCATTCATTCATTCATTCATTCATTTATTCATTCATTCATTTAGAAAAAAGTCGGGCGGAAATTATGCGAGCGGCTCAGTAAGAAGCGCCTATGAGCCGCCGACATCATCAAACGGTGGCTACAAACGCGAACACAACGACGACGATGGTTCGGTGAGAAATTCAGCTTACAATTTCGATCCAAGCGGCAAAGATGTCATGGAAATGGGAGATGGTACAGAAACTGTTAGATCGTTGTAGTCTGGTGGGGAAAAAGAATACATTAATAAATTATGTTAATGTTGATGTTGGTGAATGAATATTAAAACGATAATGACTTAATGCAAGTGCTTAAAACCATTTTAGAATTATAGCATTAGAGGAGGTTATGTACAATGCGTATTCACCAATTTACTCCTTCAATTTTATTTTATATCCCGTAGCTTCCTTCACTAGTACATAATTTGACTTTCTTCATTTCATTTAATGTTTTATTAATTTATTTGCTAAAATCGGTGTCTGATTTTTGTTGGTTTTTAAAGACAAAGCCGAATTTTTTCCAACAACGTATGTGACTACAACACAGCCCACTTTGAAATGAAACACAAAAGGTGTTGGTTTGTGGCATAGATATTACAACCAATTCCACCTATCCGTTAAGATATCGAATCTAAATTTCTATATCTATGGTTTCTGGGTTAGGGTAATGTTCATCTAACGTCTATGACAGATGCCAGGCTTTGCAGACTTGACCCTTCCTGTGTATTTGTGTCATTTTAATGTCAAGAATGAATGAAATTAATTTATTTGTTTGTATTGCGTTAGTAAATTTTGAGGCATTGAGACTGTTTAGTATCAATGCTTCAAGCTATGAAGGCTGCTGCTGACGATGACGACCGCAACTGAATAACCGTGTATCCTATCATTTTTTATTGGTTTTGTTTTTATCATCATTATCATTATTGTTATCGTTGCTTTTGTTGTTAATATTGTTTTTAATTTTTTGAGCAATACTCGGTTGCAAATGATAATAACGTTGCTGTTGAATGTATTTATTTATTCGTATATTGACGTTTTTAAAAAGATTGATGTATAAATGGTACTATAATTAACTTTTTTGTTCAATTAATTTCTATATTTTACGTTATTTATAGAACTATTTTTCTTCTTTTTCTGTTTATAAAATAAATCAAATCAAGCTTAAAAATATGTTTCAAATGCCTTATTGTCTTTATAGCATCAGTTAAACCATGGATGCTATGACCTCTTGATTGTTGAAGGCAAAACCCCTCTCTTGAGTCAACATTTTAATAGAATTAGACATTCCTATCAATAATTAAAAAAAAATAAAAACCCTTTAACTTTAATCGTTGATATGGTTTTTATTTCATTGAGAGACAAAAAATTAAAACAGTTTCAACGAGATTGTTATAATGAAATTCTCCTTAACTTAAAGTTAGGGCAATAGTCCCCATCCTCTCTGTAGACGCCTCTGGGCCATATTACACCTAATCCTAACACATAATATTGTGAAGTTTGAACTATAGCACTTGAACTTTTGCTTGAACTGGAGGAAGCGTTTGTGTTAATATATAACATACAACATATGTTGGTTATATATGCATGTGATAGCATGTATGGGAGTGTGTGTGGTGTTTATACGTTATATAAATATATGTATATATATACAATATATATATATATATATATATATATATATATATATATATATATATTGATTTGATATAAAAGTCAATTTAGTGTGATGGTACGATCATATAGATTCTCTTTTAAAGACCAGTTTGTTTGGATAAAGATACGGATATAAAACTTTTTGTAATCAATATCTGAATGTTTATTGGATAATAATATTAATAATTGCAAAAAATTAACAATAATAATAGTGATAATAATTACATTTTTGGTAGATTTTTTTGCCTACAGCTTTTCAACACAGGAACTAAAGTTATTAATCTGCATTTTCTATCTACTCTACATGTAGTAAGTAAAATTAATTTATTTCTAACTAAAATTTACTATTAGTTGTAATTGTTGTTTTAGAATTGAAAGTTGTTAATTGTATTGTAAGCAAATGGGCAAAAGCACAGACATACACGCACACATACACGCAATAATACATATAAATATAAACTGACATTTGTTCTTCGTCATTTTATTATTATTTATTATCTTTGCAGTAAGAATTAGTGGATTTTCATGAACACTTCAAACACACACAAACATGTATGAATATATATCACTCAAATTCAAATACACATATATCATAAACTACACACATGCGAATATGTGCATACATTCGCACAAAGTCGCTTATACACGCGCGCGCATAAACAATCGAGTAATGATAATATCGAATATCAAGCGGTACATCCGATCCGATAGGGACATCGTGTGCAACCGAATACCGAGCAGACCGGCTCTACTTGTATTTACTATTCGGCTGTGTGTAAGTTGTTTGGTTGGTTGGCTGGTTGGTTGGCTGGTTGGTTGGCTGGTTGGTTGGCTGGTTGGTTGGTTGATTGGTTTACCAGTTGGATGGTTGATTGGTTAGTCGGTTAATTTTGTAATATATATCCTTACATTGATAAAGTTTGGAAAGACAGCAAAAGACAGCAATCATGTTGACTCATATTTCATTGAATCCTGATCTTGTAAACTATCCCGAATATGTGAAAAATATGATGGTTTGTGATAAATAATAAAGCCGTTTAAATAAACTAATAAAATTAATTGATTTAATAACATACAAATACAAAATTATACTGCGGTACATATTAATAGTACCTCAATAAACACAAGCACTATTTTGTTTTCAGAGAATTTTTCGACCTATTAACTTTGATACAGAAGCACACACGCACGCACGCACATATACAAATACACACACATACATATAAATATATATATATATATATTTTTTAAATTCAATATAATGTTGAATTTTTGAAATATATATATATATATATATATATATATATATATATATAAATTTTTTTGTATTTTCATACATACATACGTACATACATACAATCTGTTAAACTAACACACACACACACACGCACATATACTATATAATGATAGATACATGATACTCGCCAACACACACACGCACACACACATGCATACACGCACGCACGCACACATTTCTGCACGAACGTTGTATATCAGATTGCCTTTTTTATTTCATTTATTCCTTTATAATGCCGTAGTGGATATTGTTGATGACGACGACGATGATGATGATGGTGGTGGTGGTGGTGGGACTGTGCTGGTGGTGATGACAATGATTATGATAATGATTCAAGGACAGCTCAAGCGATGATGATGATGCCAATGATGATGATGATGATGACGATAAACATTGATGGTGATACGGACAACCGCTTAAACAAATTTAAAACGACACTTATAATAATAATAACAACAACAACAATAATAATAATTATAATAATAAAAATAATAATAATGATGATGACGAGATGATGATGACGACAAGATGATGATGACGACGATGATGAAGTTGATGTTTAATCATTGACGACATTTGAGAGGAACGCCGTAATGCGATACTGGAGGTGTCGTCTTTCCTGATAGTCATCATCGTCGTCGTCATCATTATTCATCATCATCATAATCATCATCATTCTTCATCTTCATCGTCATCATCGTGGTTTACTTGTATTTCATTTTTCTTCCTCGATCATATCATATTTTATGTTATGCAATACCCACTCACATTGTATGTATATATATATATATATATATATATATATATACTCTCACATTTTGTATATATATTTTACCCATATATACATTTATATATATTATATAAGTATATATATATATATATATATAAAATATATATACTTTTATATTTATGAAGAGATTTGATCCTATATATATATATAAATGTATATATATATATATATATATATATATATATATAGGAGATATCATGTGATCATATATAGCAATAATGATTAGTTTCATATTTCGCGTTCGTTCATCTTACCACGATGAAGATGATGTGATGATGATGATGATTATAGTAGTAATGTTGACGATGATGACGACGATTGTGTATAAGGTTTACATTGGTGAAAGATAAATTAAATAAATAAAATGTGAGATATATGTCTGTATGGGTTATATATTTTTTATACACACACACACGTACACACACACACACACACACACACACACACATATATATATATATATATATATATATATATACATACATGTGTGTGTGTGCCTGTGTGTGTGTAAAACGATTATCCATCCCATTTCACCTTTCAAATTATTTATATGAGCTGTCTGTTTATTTATATTAATATCTTCCTAGGATTAAAAATACTTAAATACTTAATACAATAATACAATGATGTTTTATAAAGGAATTATTTTTAAAAATTGATTAATAGAGAGAGAGAGAGAAAGGAGAAAGAGAGAGTGAGTTAAAGATATATAGAAACAAAGATAGATAGAAACAGAGAGAAACGAAGTAAATGATAGGAAAGAAAGAAAGACAGAATGACAATGAGTGTGTGAAAAAAGGGAAAGAAGTAAAAGAGAAAGAGAGAGAGAGAGAGAGAGAGAGAGAACAAAATGTTATTAATACATCTCTATTAGTTTGTTAATGTGTGATAAGTAGCAAAATTTATGAATGAATCTGTCGACGATAGTGTTAATCTATGTACGCTACAACAATATAACCTCATTTATCTTCACTAGGAAAGGAACATCATTTTGTAGTCATCATCATTCTACTGATATCATCATTCATTAAAACTTTTAGCCTATTTAACATCGTCGTTATCTTTAGATTGTATTATCATTTTTAGAGACTATATCATCGTTGTCATCATCACAAAATCAACGTATATGTCATCATCATAAAAGCCATCATCGTCGTCAATCTCAAACAACCTTATCAACAAGCACATCATCATTGTCGTCGTTGTCATCATCGTCGTCATCATCTTCTTCATTTTCATTATCATCTTCATCATCTTTTTCACATTATCATAATCATTGTTGTCATCACCGTCGTCGTCTTCACCATCATCATCACCACCACCATCATCATCATCATTATGCAGGTAACGTAATAGGAATCCAGTCCAACAGTATCATGTGACAGATTTCTTCTCATATGTCTCTTGTTGTTGCTGATGTGGTTGCTGCTGCTTCTGTTGCTGTTGAGGCAATTTTTGTTGTTGCTTCTGCTGCCTATGTTTATGTCGTTGTTTATGTTGTAGCCGGTTTTGTGGCTAATGTGGTAGCTGCAACTGACGTGTCGCCGTTGATGTGATTATTGAGAGAGGTGTATTTTCAACGTTATCAATGTTAACAATCTTTCACCTCTGTAGGCAGTTAATACTTTTTAGAGGTTGATTTGCAATCGAAGAACAAATTTCTTGGCTCAGTTGCCTCACAGAACAAAGACACTCGATATAAAGATTATTAAATAAAAGAATAAGCAAAAACTGTATCGCTAATTTAATTTGTTGGTTATATAATAATTTAACACACACACACACACACACACACACATGTAAACACATACATACAAACACACACATGCATACATACATTGATACGTACACACGTTTATAGAAGCATACCTAGGCATATTCATGCTTCCATCAACACAAGTAACCAATCCAAGCCGCTAAGTTAATTGGAAAAGTATTGCATTGGTTATTGTGATGGTGACGATGACGATGATGATGGCGATGATGAAGTTTAAAAAGATATAGACGGTGACGACGATGATGACGATGATAATCTTAAAGGAATGAAGTATTGCTTGCAAGGGGAAATTGATACCAGTTATTGGATAATATGGTAACGCTGTATGAATGTATGCGTATGTATGTAGTTGTGTATGTATGCATGTATGTATGCGTGTATATATGTACGTATATATGTATGTACGTGTATATGTATGTGTATGTATATGTATGTATATTTGTATGTATGTGTATATGTATGTGTGTGTATATGTATGTATATTTGTATGTATGTGTATATGTAAAGTGTGTGTATACGTATGTGCGCGTGTGTGTGTAGCTTGTAATGATATCTGAATGTACTTATTTACGAATTTATGAGTGTAGACTTGCGGCACCAAACGTGTACAAAGTATTAGATGTGTGCATAAACCCAGAAATGATGAATACACAATTATAAATGTACACAAATATACATGTTTAAACAAACATACAAAAATACATACTTACAAACAAACATACATACAAACAAACAAACGTACATGCAAAAAACATACATCCATACGAACAAACATACATACAAACAAGCATACATACATACAAACATACGTATGTGAATGTATGTGCACAGTTATCCATTCCTAAGTGCGTTGCCTTTGTGTTTTTAATTTGGATTAAAACAACAGATCGTATTTTAACGATGCATAAAATGAGATACATACATAAATAAATACATACATACATACATACATACATACATACATACATACATACATACATACATACATACATACATACATACATACATACATAAAACCTTACATACATACATACATACATACATACACACATACATACCTAGAAATAGTTGCACGTACAAGTTTGTATATATAAACATACGTATGAATACTTGCACAGTTAGGTAGGTATGCTTACCATTAAAAACATAGCATATACGTAAATGAATGCAAAAATACCTTACATTCAAAAAAAAGCGTACACACACATGCGTTCGCATACACGCACCAAACAAACACATACACGCACAGACATGTATGCATTTGAGAAGTTTGCCTTCACGGAATGTAAGATACATAATCCATCCAGACAGAGACATCAAATCTCTACTCAAATATACAATACCCACACACACACACACACACACACACACACACAAACACACACACACATACACACATTTTCTCTCTTTCCCTTTCTTTTCTGTTTCTCTCTCTCTCTCTCTCTCTCTCTCTCTCTCTCTCTCTCTCTCTCTCTCTCTCTGTTTCTATCTCTCTCTCTCTCTTTCTCTCTCCCTCTCAGACACACCCACACACACGTTCATATACACATACAATAACTTTAAATAAGTAGGTACATGCACACATAAAAAAAAACTACATATGCGACTGTTTCATACAGATAGCACCTATTTTTTTTACATATAGAGTAAGTACATATTGGTTAAGGTATGTGTGTATGTGTTTGCAAAAATGTGTGTGTATGTGTAATGTATCTAAGTATCAAGTGGTATAAAATGTGACACGGACGTAGGTATACGCATACCGCTGACGAAATGTTTATGTTGAAATATCTGTCACTTTACCCCTGCGATTGAGTTGATGATGATGAAGATCGTGCATACGATGATGATAATGATGGTTATTTTGATGATAATGATGGTTACGGTGATGATAATGATGGTTATGGTGATGGTAATGATGTTTATTGTGATGATAATGATGGTTATGGTGGTGATAATGATGGTTACGGTGATGATAATGATGGTTATTGTGATGATAATAATGGTTATGGTGATGGTAAGTATGTGAATGTGAGTAAGTATGAAAATACGTGACTTAATTTTGATTGCCACCACACGTAACAATCTATGATCGCTTGAATTAACATTCTCAAATATCGCCCTCATCGTATTATCGCTCATGGTTTGATATTTTATTTGTGTTTGTTATTTGTGTTTATAGGAGAAAAAATGTGAGTGTGAACTTTGTTGTCATTGTCTTTATTATTTCACACGTTAATTTTTTGAACAGCCTACTAAACTAATCGTTCAATAAAAAACCATGTAGCAGTAGTACAAGTAGCAGCAGTAGTTGCAGTGCTAGTGTAGTAGTAGCAGTAACAGCAGTAGTAGTCGTAGTCGTTCTAGTAGCGGCGGACGTAGCAGCAGTATTACAGAAGAAGTTGTAGCAGAGTTGCATGGAGTTAAATTAAACACTGCACTAAAAGAATATTCGATTACATCTTTCTCACCTTTCAAAAAACATTTGCATGTTTGTTTGTTAGTTAGTTAGTTTGTATGTTTGTTTGTTTGTTTGTGTGAACGTATGCGCTTTTGTGTATATGTTTAGTTGTATATGTGCATGTATGTATGTTTGTATGTATGCTTCTTTGAACGTTTCATCTGTATTTATTTCATTTATCACCTTCTGAGGCTTCACTCAAAATGTTTCTCTTTTTTCCTGCATTTTAATACTTGCTTTTCCGCTTGCTTATACACCGTGCACGTATAATATGCGTGCATGTTTATCATCATTGCAAATTGCAAATTAGACTTCCATAAATTGCGCCAAGATGTTGTGATGGTGTTTGGTTCTGAGTTGCAGTAGCTGGATTCGAATCCTCATCACTCCCTCCACTCAAAAAAAACAAAGTTACATTTTTAAAAACGTGTGTTTGTTCTTTTGACGTAGTTAATAATATATTGAGTATATCAAAAAAATGCCATTTGTATTGTTTGGTATTCATAAGCAGAGTAACATTTTACAAACAAACAACTAATAGTGTATTACGTTACTGTGTGGCGCTGTGTTGTTATTTAATATCAGCCAAGCAGTGTAACTAATTTAAATATTGTGGATAACTCAATGTTATCTCGTTTCTCAGTCTTGCCATTTCAAAGACAAAAGGATCATTTAACCAGGTCTAACTAGACATCTAACTAATCTCGAAATGGCAAGCTTTTTGTCTATGTTGTTTACATCTATGTAATTTGATAATTCACTCACATTATCATCATTCCATATGTTGTGATGTACAATGATTATCAGATGGAAATAAAAATGTGTGTGTTTTGTTTGTTTGTTTGTTTGTGTGTGTGTGTGTGGTGTGGCTATTTATAAACTCGTATATATCATAATTCTTTACCTGAATTCTATTTCAGTTTATTAATAGTTTAATAATTATACTATTAATATTAAAACTAAAAAAATTATAAAACTATTAATAATTAAACTTTAATTACTTTTTTTTATAAAATGAGCGTTTATATAACTATAATTAAAATAATTGTTTATATAATATATAATTAAAATCTTGATTGTAAAATTAAATTTCAGGTAAGTTATCTATCAACTGTTGAAGATTGATCTAGACTAGAAAGATCTCACCAATCAGCGGATAAAAATAAACTTTGAAAATGACGTCATTATGTGATTGGTGCCGTGGTGACGTTTCAGAACTCTCTCCTTCGCCATCATCTCTCTCTGACGTCAACGGAACTCTCAAGTTTTGTAGCTTCTTATGCCTCAATAAATACAAAATGAACCTTTTCTGCATTGAAACTCAACAACATCTGCCTAAGCTGAAGGTATTTTAATAAATTTTTAACGGAAACTTCTTATATTTTTGTTTTAATTTCAAATATTTTTTACCTCAAGCCATACGATACGACGAAAAAATGGCGTTGTTCGAATCAAATAGCAGTAATTCTAAACCATCAGGAAATTTTTACTAGAAAAAAATCTACTAGAAAAATAATAATAACGCTAGCCGTATTAGTTTCTGACATTTGAGCAGTTATTTTCCGCTTATTAATTTTTTTGAAAGAAAAAAATATATGAAAAGTAAAATAGTTAGCAAGAACGTGATTGAGATGCTTCACTAGATGATAGAAATCAGATCCGATCCGTGAAATTAAAAATTCGTGATTTTTTTTTCTTCTTTAAATAAACAGTCAGCGGTAGAAACGGTAATGATAATATTATTACAAAACACATAAAATTGATTCCCTAAATAAATTAATTTCTTTAAATCTTCAGAACGAAAACTCAAAATCGCCACATACGATCGAAAAGAAATTGAACCCAACTCTTCTCATCACGCCCGATCTCTGGTTTTCAGATGAATCAAACAGTCTGCTGAAAGATGACAAAAAAATCGACAAAATTCCGAAACCAGCCGATACTACTCAACCGGAACGACACATCTCCTCGACGACGAGGCCCAGCAGTGCGAATGAGGAGGCCATCAAGTCACCATTCGTTCAAAGTTCGTCGAAAGATCATACACTGCCGATGCAGAAATTTAGAAGTGAGAAAGTGAACTGCCTCAACTCAAATAAGAAACGACAGAGAACGTTTAGTAACGAGTCTGAATCCAGTAACGAACAATCAGACAATCGAGACAGCTCGTCTGTAGAACACTCCATTGCTATGAAGAAACCAGCAATTAGCAAGAGAAAAGAATTCGCTAACTGTAAGAACGTAACATCGAAACCAAAACGAGATTACAAGACCACGTCAACTTTTGATCCGCCATTGCAATTCCCGGTTCCAAATCCTTTTGATGTGTTGGCACGAGAGAACTTCGGTGCCCACAACGTTCCAAAATTTCCACTTTTCCTTCAAACTCCATTTTTCAATGCCCCCCCACAAATTCCCAACTGGACAAAAAGCTACAACCCGACAATTGCACAACCGAATTTTAATATTAACGATCCGACAACAATTCAGTTTTTGAAGTATTTACCCTCACAGTTTCCATTTCAACCGCACGTGGCTCCATTGCCTCAAATCCACAACACTCTGACGCCACCTAGTACAAACATGGTACCCTACCCCTTCATTATACCGGTACCTATACCAATACCAATACCGTTTCCAATACCTGAGAAGTATCTGAAGAAAAATAATGAAAAAGAACCGAGTCGCATACCAACGCAACCTCTGGGTCAAACATTTAAAAATGATGAAACAAACGAAACCGACTGCCCAATAAGCCACAATACCGACTCGATTGTTGATCCATCCCAAGAGCAGAATGCCAACAATCAAGCTCTAGACTTCTCGATGCATAGAAGCACAGCTTCTACGCTATCGAACAGTCACAAATCTTCTCCATCTACCTCATTTTCATCCTTCAACGCCGAACCAACGAACGTATTGATAAAGATTGAACCAACAGATACGGAACACGAACAAACCGACCATCCTATCTCGAATCCGATCATTTCTCTCAACAACTTGTTGATCTCCCGCCCCGCTTACGCCGCTCGCCGAAGCCTCATCCTAGATGCACCTCAACCGCCACAAAGTTCTTCTATCTTGACCACCAACTACGCTAATGCCAAAAGATCGCCGCACAGTCACAACTCGAGGAAGAGGTGCCATACAGTTCAGATTAAGGCCAAATAAAAACTTTTCCGATCAACAAATTTATCGACGAAAGATTTTTCACGTTCTTAATATTTTCATTATAAATTTATTGTACAGATATTTTATTATTACATTTAAAATGACCTATCATTCAGTAAAAAATTCCGACTAATCGCATGTTTCAGGCGATTTTGCGATAATAAATCCAGTAAAGTTAAACTACTATAGGTCATTTGACGTCATTACTAATTTGATCCAGTAATTTATTCGCGTTATGAACAATAATAATAACTACATTATTAGTTATTTTTATTTATTTTACATTATTATTAATTATAATAATTATTATCGTTATTGTCGTTTTAAAAAATTGAAATAAACCAGCTACAAAGCTTTCGGATTATGATTCTGTCTGTTTAAACAAACACCAGCTAGATAGAATCTTTATTCTTTTTACAACAATACAAATAAAATTAATTAAAAAATAAATAACGTAGTAATAATAATAATTAATAATAGTATTAATAATAAAATTGTTTTATTGACAGTAAGAAACTGAAATAGAAGTAGTAGTTTAACTGAAAATCTAACTAGATGCAACGATTTGATATCGATAGAAAACACAGTTGATATGTAATGATGAATGAATGAATGAATGAAAAAGTGAACGAACGAGCGAATGTGTGAAAGATTGAGTGATGAAATTAAGATAAGAGTGCAAACAAATGAATAAACGAATGAATGAAATAATGAATGAACGAAAGATGAGAAAATATTTATGGAAATCATTGGAATAGAACATGAGTTAAACAGCTGAATTATGCATGGAAAGAAATAAACGAATGAATGAATAAATGAATGAATGTAAAGAATGAGTGAACGAACGAACGATTGAATCGTACAGGGTTACAAGCCAAACAAGCTATCGATTTCAAAAGAAACTCAAGAAAAAATTAACGCCAACAAAAAAGCTGATAAGCTACACGATTAAATATCATTAACGTATACGTACGTACGTATGTATACATAAATGCATGCATGCATGTTTGTTTGCATGTATGTAACTAAGCATGCATGCATGCATGTATGAATGTTATGTATGTACGTATGTATGCGCGTAAACTTTTTACAATGTTTGTGTAGTATTATGATACTGCTACAACTGCTGATAAAATAATAATAATAAAAATAACAACAATAATAAAGAAAACAATAATGAGATTAATAATAAAGAATAATAATAAGCAAGCATAGTTCTTTCTGGTTGCGTGAGAGAGAGAGAGAAGAGAGAGAGAGAGAGGAGAAAATGGGAATGAATTGTAGAAAATGATGAAAGGAAATAACACAATCAATCAATCTATCAATCATTATGTTTTTTGCATGTATGTATGCGTTGTATGTGTGCATGTTGTTTGTAAGTGTGTATATGTGTATGCATGCGTGTGTTCGTTTGTATGCATGTATGCAAGTATGTATGTATGCATGTATGTATATATACATATGACTAAATGATGACTTAGATGCAAACATAAATAAGCGCTTGAGAAAAAGATCGATAGATAGATAGATAGATAGATAGATAGATAGATAGATAGATAGATAGATAGATAGACAGAGAGATAGAGAGAGAGAGAGAGAGAGAGAGAGAGAGAGAGAGAGAGAGAGGAGTGACAGAGAGAGGAGGGAGAGAGATAAGATAGATTATTAATCAATGAACTTTTGTTATTGAAACCACTACATGCATGCGATACTAAATCAAAGATTCATTCCAAAATTTCGCAACCAATATTACTACAGTATTATTACTACTGATAGATATCATACTAGGTAGTGGAATGAATACATTGCAAATAAGTTGAGAAAAAGAAGAAACCTTAAAAGTTTCAATTAACCTAACAATAGCAGTATGATAATAATTACCAGTAAGGACTACTTGAATTTAGTACAACGATAATACTATACAAGTTAATAGCAATACTGAAACATCAACGACATCAATATGTGTGATTAAATACATTAATATTATTTCACTGTCCTTGTAAATTTAACAATGAGTAATTATAATTGACTAGGGGGGTTTAAAATTAAAAAAAAATGAGTGGAAAATAGTATAGAATGTATGTATGTATATGTGTGTATGTATGTATATGTATGTACGTATGTGTGTGTGTATGTATGTACGTATGTGTGTGTGTATGTACGTACGTATGTGTGTGTGTATGTATGTACGTATATATGTGTGTGTTCAGCCACATAACCGTCAATATTTCATGCATTAATTTTGATACTGTTGTCTTTCATCATCATCATCATCATCCTCATCATTGTTGTTGTTAAGTATCGTCATCAGCATCGCCGTTATAATCCACCATCATCATCATCATCATCATCAAGAGCTACCAATAGTGCACCAATTTTACAAATTACATTACATTATTACATTACATCACCAGTCAATCCATCACCATCCATCCATCCAACATCATCATCCATCCAACATTAATTATCATCATCACAATTATTATTATTATTATCATCATCAATTACATCATCCTGTCTTCATTTTGCTGTCATCAGTATACAATTAAACTTGAAAAATATTTTACTGAATTAGTAATTGTTTACATCAGATAACAATTAAACCGTTAAAAATATCAAATTAAATATATATATACATATATATATATATACACACGTTTGTGTATATGTGTGTGTGTGTGTGTGTGTGTGTGTGTGTGTGTGTGTGTGTGTGTGTGTGTGTGGTAGAGGGTATATACATAATAATGATACAATACAAGTGTTTTAATACTTAATGCTCAAGTCAAATTAACCGACAACAAGAGATGAATTTATGAACGTATGCATGTATATGTATGTATGTATGTATGAATATATATATATATATATATATATATATATATATATATATATATGTGTGTGTGTGTGTGTGTGTGTGTGTGTGTGAGTGTGTGTGGTGTGTTTAGGAATCAAAATGGTTACAAGAATTCAAAACATTATGTCAATGAAAACCGTAAGATGCTAGAATAACGTGACTGAATTAGAATGAGAAAAAAAAAATCGGAAAAAAGAAATAAAATAAACAAAATTGAAGAATATTTAAAAGACTTTAAAATTGTAAGGAATAGTACAAAATTGCCATTTAAAAACATAAAATAAAATGAGTTACTAGCTAAAATGAAATGAGTACATATACCTAACAATATTAAAATAACATGACTAAAATGATAAAACCATGAACACTACCGTACACTTAAATGTTTGTATGCATGCATGCATGTCTGTCCTTTTAAAATTCATTTTTAAAAACACATGTGCATGCATGACCGGCAGTATACAAACATATGTATATAGCATAGAGTATAGACTGGCAGCATACAAACAAACATATGTATATATGTGAGTATGTATTGTATATTTGTTTGTATGATTTAATTGGTTAAATTTTAATTAACTACACAGACATAAAAATAAACAGTTTGGAAAAAAAACGAAAAAAAAACATGATGAATAACATTTTGGCTCAACTCATCATTAAAAAATTTTTCACTGAAACTTTAAAAAATAATTATCAATATTCATCAGATCAGCGTTATATTATCCTTATTTGAAAACAACTAGTCAATCAATCATCCAGTCAAACAATCAATCACTCAATCAATCAGTCATTCAATCTTTCAATCAATCAATTGACCAATCAATCATTGATCTGTCTGGGCTTGCCCATGTTCATGCCGGCTTGGGAGGCTCCCTTGTTACTTCCGTACTGCAAGCTGATGATGTTCTTACCAGCATTCAGCTGCTCCTCTGTAAACTCCCTAATGTTTCTCTCACATTTTTTTGGCCAGAATCCTTCAGGGCCTTCATAGTCAGGTTTCGTTTGGGCCTAAGGTTGCATGGTGTGATGTTACAATAATTTCGTGCAGCCTAATGTTATGCTGTGATGCTGTAATGTTAACCAGCTACATACACATACATTTGAGAAAGCAATAACATATAAAAAGCAGAAAAAAAAAATTAAAAAAAACCTTGCACTCAAACAAACAAGCAAGCAGGCAAAACCCAACCAACCTCAACACCCAATGCCCTGATGCAAGTGCAGACTTGGGCCAGATTGAGTGCCCCCTTTTCGTGCAGGGATTCTGTGGGGAATGTGTAAGTCCCCGTGACCCCGTACTCCTGAGCTAACTTGGTGAAGGTAGCAATGCGCTCCCTTTCCCTCATCAACTGCATGGCTTCTATGCGTGCCTTCTGGAACATCTTGTCATTCCAGTTGATGTGGTCCGGGCAGAGGCGGTCCATCAACCTGTCAGTGAAGATGGCAAATCATATCATGAAGACACTCCAAAACACAACAACTAGAGCAGCAGCAGCAAATAAACACAGCAACACATAAGTTTTACCCAACAAGACACTAACTTGAGCAAAATCACACCATCCCCAAGTAACTCATGGAAATTATCATGTGATGCATCAATCTCTTCAAGAACACCTGGTATCTCTTCAGCATCTGTCATCAACTTGATCCAGTACAAACATTTGGCTGCCTCTTGTGGGTCAAAATTTGCCTCAATCTATAAAAAATACATTTATTAAAGATAAATGATGAATAGTTTTTCGGATTATTAGATAGCACATGCCATGGCACAATGTAATTGTAATATAATAGCTAGTTATAAAATATACACTAAAGTTTCATAGAATCAGAGGAGATTTGATTACTTTGCATAATATTTTAAATAGTAATTTATATCCATTAAAAAATCAATTAAATTTTTTTCTAGACAGTCTACTTAGCTTCTCTTCTATTTGACTTCTTCTGTTTTACACATTCACATCCAGCATCATCAGCAACAAATATGTGTATTACATACAATTAAGTAGTTAATTACATTACATATATATTATATTATATATATATAATATTATATATGATGATACAATTGATATTCGCCCTTCTTTTTCAAAATTAAAAAAATCCAAAATTAATAAATTAGAAAATCAAAATATATACCTTGCTTTGGGTTTCTGCTGCAATGCCAGATTTTCCAGCTCTAAAATTATTCATTATTAAAATATAAAAAATGTTTTCGCAAAATAAAATTAGTGAAATTCGCCAAAAATTAGGAAAACGGCGCAGAAAAATTCGCACTTATCAACGCGAGCGACAGCAAAGAGAGAAAAATGTCATTCGAGATTTCTGTCAAACGGCATAGATAAGAAATATTTCATAAAAGCCTATATATATATATATATATAGAGAGAGAGAGAGAGAGAGAGAGTACCTATATACATTATATATATATATATATATATATATATAACATTATTTTCATTTTATAATTTTTTTGCTTTTAACATTCATTTACTACCACGCAAATAAAAAAAAATTTGTCTACAGAATGATGAGAGGTGGGCAGTGGTGGTGGGAGTCACCACGTTTCAGATGGTGGTCTCATGATGATTTACATATGATGATGGTGGTATGTATTCGAATTTGAACAAAGAATTGAGTGTAATCTCACTAAGATAAGTTACCTATTTTTTCCAATGGCTTGTTTTATATTTTAAAGAATTTTTTTTTCAATTAAGCGTTTTTCAGTATCTGGCCAATTCATTCCATCGGTGCGTGATGGTCGGTGCAATAGAGGTTCCTCCGTAGTGAGTGAAGAAATTTCTGGAAAGTAAACGCGCGCACATTTACACACACACACACACACACACATCATTACAACACACACATCATTACAACACACGCATACACAACATCCATTCAGTTGGTGTCGTTGTTGTTATGTTTCTCTTCAACTTTCTATTTTCTTTACCGGACTTTAATATAATTCGTAGGTAAGTTAGGGATTGAGATGAGTTGAACAATCGTAGGTAGGCTAGGGTTAACATTAGTTAAAAAGTTTCTAACAAAAAAAATAAATAAAAATTAAATTATATAAAAAAGGCAAATTAAAAACGTTAAAATATGTAAAGTACAATACCTGAAATATGTGAAACTCCTAAAATTTAGAAATGCAAATTTGTAAGTAAGGGGAGATGAGTTTATCATTGTAGGCTAGCTAGGGCCCTGAGAGTAATTTAATTGTAGGTAGGTGACTGACTACTATTCTTGCGACTTCTTACTAGTTTTTTGTGATGTGTTTGTTTTCGCTTCACAGCCTCACACAAACAAAAACTACATTTTATTCTCGTCGTCGCCGTAAATTTTACCTTTTTGAACAATCTAAGGAGTGTGTATAATAATAATAATGGATAATATTTATTTTTTATCGGTCGATATTTTGTTATATTTGTTTAAAATTCGAATTTTTTAAAAAATTGTCGTTTTTACAATTTTAATTAACCACCACATTACATTTATTAATGAATTCAAATAAAAGCAACTATTGTGCTTTTCTTTCTGTACTAAAATCTCGAAATTGTTTGTAGATCTGCACGGTTAAGTGTTCGAGTTTGAACAAACCTTGCAAATATTTATTTTTTTTTTCGTTTTTATCTCAATTCGTTCGTTTGTTTGGTTCATTCAATTTGGTTCATTGATTGGTCGATTGGTTGGTTGATTAGTTGATTGAATGAATGGTTGGTTGATTGATTGATTCATTTTCTTTTATTTATTTTACTATTATTGATTATTTTATTTTATTCTATTTTATTTTACTTTCCATGTTTAAATATTTTTCATTCTCCGTTTATTTATTTACTTATTCGTTTAAATTTATACTACTGCCTTGCATGCTGTAACAGTTTCTGCGTCTGTAAGTTCCTGATTTTTCAAGAATAATTAAAAAAATGCCAATAAACCAACAATCCAAGTAAGTCAAATAGCCCGACCCTAGTCGTTACGTTACCTGAAATTTGAAACATGATTTCACTTTTAAATTAGATAACATTAAAATATCTTGTTTTCATGGAGGAATGGTTATCCGTGTGGGGAACTTAAGAAATTGAGAAAAATTGAGTTTAAATTGAGAAAAATTTAATTTTTTCGACTGTATCGCTATTGTTTATTAGCAAATAAGTTGTTAGTTTTTTGCTGATCAGAATTAAGCAGATGAATTATTACCTTAACGCAATAAATTTAAAAATAGCAAAATTCAGCAATCAACTCTGCAAATCATGTCTCCATTGTTGTCAACGACAGGAACGCCTCGGCCTAAGCTGCCGTTAACGTTACAAGACCTGCCGGACGACGTCTTATTTATAATCTTTTCCTACTGTAACCCAAGCACATTGTTTTCATTGTGTCAAGTAAGCAGGCGACTCAATGAATTTTGCTCACAAAATTATGTCTGGAACGAGCCATATTATTTTGCATACACATGTGTCCATAGTTCTTGTAACCCATTGTTAAGCAGGTTGGTCATGATTAAATTTTGTTTGCTTATTAATTATTAAATGATTTACATTTTTTAGTTATAATTTGTGTTCTTACATTATTGACAGTGGCATTTTTTTACTGTTTAGCTTTTTAGTAGTTTCACAATTGAATAAATCATACCATCATCATAAAATTACAATATAATTTTATAAATAACCATTTTTATTTTATTGCCATTATTATTTATTATATAACCAGGGTTATTTTAGTTGTGAATAGTTGTGATAATAAAAACTGTTTTCATTAATTATGCCATCACTTATGTTGTATATCATTAATATTAATTAAATTAAGTGAAACATTTCATTACAGATCAGGCCCTTTTCTTCACAAAGAATATGTGAGGCTGTCGAGGAAATGGCAGTCTAGAGAACTGTCTCGGAAACATCAAGTCGTCATCAAATATGATCGGTAGTGATGATAATGATGATGATGATGTAGTGATGATAATGATACATTTTTATCATAATGTTATCATAGTCAACAACATCATCAATTTTAACATCATTGACAACCTCATCATCAACCAAAATGACATCAACAAAAATAACATTAACCAGTCAGTTACCATGGTTATACCTGCAAGATGACGACCACCCTCTCATCTACCTAGCCCAAAAATACTCCATCAACTGTTACAAGCTCAGTTACAGAAAAAGCAATAATTGTGGTGACAACAACATCAACAACAACATCATCAACAACAGCATCAACAACAACAACAGCAGCAACAACAACATTAATAGCAATAACTGCTGCACTATTCATGCAAAAGCTCAGGCCACTTACTATAGCAATTGCTATCACGACATCAATAGATTCGTTGTCAGGGGTGGGTCCGTTCTTGCTGGTTATAGGTTTGTGGAGTGCTGTTATAATATGCTTAGCGTATATTTTTGTGAAAGAATAAATAAAATATTTTTTTTTGCACAGAGATGGCAGTGTTGCAGTCTTCCAGATCCAACTTTGCAACGGACCATCATCATTTTCATCATCGTTTCAAATGAAACTGCATGAGAAGGAAGTTCAAGCCGTAGAGATGATCAAGGGTGATGATGATGACGTCATCCTCACCGGGGCCTTTGATGGATACGTTAAGGTGGTGACGGTGATGATGATGATGACGACGATGATGATGATGATGACAATAATTTGGTGATGATTTTGATTATTATTTTGTCAGTGTTGATGATAAGTGTTCTGAAAATATAGAAACTAGTCCTAATTGGTGGTATGACGATTAATTTGGTTTATGATTGGCTGTATCATCGTCATCGTCATCATCATCATATTAACTTCATCATCGTCGTCATAGGTGACGCGGGTAAGGACGAACTATTATGATACCCATCATCCCTATCGTCTCCTCCGTAATCACCTTCCTCGTTATAACCTCCTCATTGGAGATAGAGTTCTATCTTTGGCCTGCAACAGTTCTAACGTGTCTGTCTTATTCATTCATTCGTTCTTTCATTTATTTAATTTAGCTTTCATTCATTCACTCATTCATTTTTTAGTCCGCCATTCATTTATTATTAATTTATCATCTTCATTACTATTTGGATAATCTTAATATTTAATATTAGTGTAATTTTACGTCCTATAATACGTCAATGAAATATGGAGGGAATGAATAATAAATTAACTATTAACGAGTTTATTATTAATAAGCTTATTAATATTCATTGGTTGACCTTTTTTAATAAGATTGGCTGTAGGCACTGCAGGGCTGACCAGACTGCCACCAATCAGCTTGTGGGATCTCAACAGGTGATGGCGGCTAATGGATGAATGAGTAAATGAATGAATGAACCAATGAATGATTCGTTGGTCTAATGAATGATTAGGTGCATGATTTAATGAAAGAACTAACGAATGAATGAATTGATGACAGTGCTCAGGAGACAAATACACTTGGAAGTAGAGAGCACAGATTCGGATCTGGCGTGATGGACATGTGTTTCATGGCGCACGACAAACTCCTCCTCACATGTGGCTACGACACTGCTGTCAGGCTGTGGGATCTCAGGGTTGCCACTGACCAATGGTTCGTTTGCCTTTTTCTGTGTGCTTGTTTGTGTCTCTGTGTGTTTGTTTGTTTGTGTGTATGTATGTATTGGTCTGTAATTTAAACAAAGGCGCCTAATAATAAACGCCATTATTATTATTATTATTAAAGACAATATATATAGCGCCCATTCAATGCTCTCACAGGCACTCTCAAAAAACTAAAACTTGATCATATACGTGGCAAAAAAACCAAATAAAATTACAACCATAATTACCGTCAGTTTATAGCATTCATACACGAATGTACAAATTATGTCTTGTTGCAATACAAAACATGCAAAAGAACGCACGCACACAGACAAACTAGCAATTCACACACGCACTAGCAAATGCACATACATAAGCACACAGGCGAACAAACAAACAAACGAACAGTGTCCTGGAATATGAAGAGCCGTACGACAATGCCCTCTACTGCGTGCAACATGACTGGCACAACGTCATCTTCTCAGGAAGCAGTAGAAGTTCCATGGCACATATGTGGGATGTCAGGTGGAGGAGTAGACAGCCCGTACAGGTCGGAGTTTTGCGTCGTGTGGTGTTTTCAGTGCCCTGTAGTATCGGAGTGTCGTGTGTAGAACTGTGAGCGACTGCGTGAGCTTTATGTAATGTGATGAGTACAAATCAGTAATGGGTATCATTTACATTTAAAAGAGTTTTGGTTGCTATCGTTCATTCTTAATTTGTCGTCATCATCATTTTTATTATTCATATTCATCTCACTACGTCACCGCCATCTTCTAATCAACGTCATCACCGTCAACAACAGACGTACAGTGCAAGGGACCAGAGTCCAGTGTATTCTCTGGCCTTCAATCACAAGTCCCTCTTTCTCGCTCTTGACGTCCGTCTTGCTGTCATCCTATTGGATGGATAGACGGATGGATTGAAAGATGGACGAATGCATTGATTGTTTGATAGATGGATGAATACATTGATTGTTTGATTGATGGATGAATACATTGATTGATTGATGGATGAATGCATTGATTGATTGATAGATGGATAGAGATGTATATATATATATATATATATATATATGAGTAGATAGATAGATAAGCGAACTTGTTTTCTTCATTGGATGGTTTTTTTTCTTTGTTGCAGATGAATACTTTTCAATAAACTTGAATTTTAAATATCTTTTTTAGAAATTCTGTCCCTTTTTTAAAAATGAATGACACATACGTATGGGTACGATAAAATTGATGCATGCGTATAGTGTAGATAAACCTGATGTGTTCGATTTTGTTAAACTATTTGAAAGAAATTTAAACTATGGTGAATTTAAGTAGTCTATTTCTGTGTATTTTCTAATTTTTTCACAGTCCCTGCATATAAACAACTCTGTATCTCATGAAATGTTATAAAATATTTCAAAAACAGATTCAATCTTGAAGACTTCTGTATCAGTCTAAATAAAATCAAAATGAGATAAAATGAGGATGGTAGACCATGATAACGGCTGTTACGAAACTCAAATTACTAAGCCAGCCAATTCTTAAGAGTTATCAAGATAAAAATCGATAGCTGATAAAATCAATATAAACGTTTGTGTATGAGTGCATAAATGTATGTATGAGTATATATTTGTACTATAAAATACAATTAAGGTATATATGTGTACTTTAATATGTTGTACGCGCGTGTATATGTTGTAAGTGTGTGTGTGTGCGTCTACACGAATTTAACCTTTGTAGATTCAAATTCTTATACATAGTACAACATTTTTATATATGACAGTATAAAATTGGTAACTTTTTAAAGTTAGGTAGTGATAGAGTGGTTGCATTGAGTAATCGAATTATTTTATATCATTTCATATATATCGCGAAACTAAATTTCAGGATTTAAAAAAATGCAGTCAAACTTTACAAAAGTCAAAACTGTCGAAATTGAGATAACCTAAATGGCTAGAAGGCACTCTGACGATGAAATTTCCGGTAAAAAATATTTTTCCATTCAAGTGTGATGATAAAGTTGCAGTAAGAAGTGAATGCAGTACATGAAGAATGTTGAAAATGAAAAAAATAATGTCGTAATGATGATGTGTAACTAGATAAACACACACAAATAAACACACACACACACATACAGTTTAGCTTAGGTATTCAAGCGCAATAAGTTACTATACATGATACTGTATACTAAATAATACTAGGTATATAACGACAATGATTCGACTGAATGGGATAAAAGGAGAGGTCAGATTAATGAGATCAGTACAATATATGAGAGTCTGGTGCTTGCTAATATATGATGGTGAATATATATAGTAATGACAACACGCACGCACACACACACAGACACACACACACAACACACAGACACACATCCAAGAGAGTGAACTGCAAGAGCATTATTAAAGGTACTTGAATTAATACAAATGAAATTACTAAAATTAATAAATACAATATTAATAAAGATGAAATTATTAAAATTAATAAATGCAATATAAAAACAAAATTAATAAATAGAAACTGAACAAAAACATGAAAAATGCTAAAGAAACAATATCACTGCTAAAAATACGACATGTATTAGTAAAAAAAACTTCAAAAAAATAAAGATTTGTAAAACTACCTTTTAAAAATCTCTATACACTAATCTGTTCCTAACATTACTTTAACTAACTTTACTATCAACATAGTATATGCCTGTATATTATTGCTATCTCCACATTAATATGACACCTCATCATCACTGTACTATAATGATTAATCATATTTAATATCATATATCATCACGCAGTTTATTATTTAAAAAAAGTAAAATTTTCATCATACCATCATCAAAATCACATTTATAACTCATTACAATACTGACTTGTAAAATTCAAAAAAACATAAAATCTCAATAAATAATAATCTCTTTAACAATTTAATTTTTGTAAAACTACCATTAGATCAATTTGTATCATGTGTACATTCACTTTTAAAGCCTCAATCAATTTTTAACTATTAAACAAACACTAAACTATAATTTTACTCTCAAAATCTTTTGCCTATAGACTCATGGGTGCTAAGAGCTTCTTTCTGCTGTTGAATCTCAGTGATGAGGTCGTCGGGGGGTCGAAGAAGGATGATTGGGGCATCCTCGTCCTGTCTCTGGTATAGCATCTCCCCTTCGAACTGCACCAGGCCCTTTCGACGAGCCCGAATCATAAGGCCTACTAACTGTGTGTTTTATTTAGTAAAGTTAATTGGTATTATGTAATGACTATTGAAATGTGTTATAATTTTAAACTGTAGTTTACAAATGCAGTAAGTTTTGTTGTGTAATTAAAAGATGAAACTTATGAAAAAACATGACAAGTCTTCTAACATTGTGAGATATCCTTCCGTAGTACTCGAACAGTCGACCAAACTTGACACCGATGGTTCCATCTGACAGTGGTACCCCGATGTGCTCGATCATCTGACACAATTCCAGAACTTCCTCATTTATGTGGATATCTGCCTTCTTACCTGGTTTAGTGTAGATCATAAGCATAATGAAATATTATTAAATTATAGATTTTTTCAAATCAAATAAGTAGAGTTTTTTCAATTTAAATTAATTCATAGTTGATTCAGCAAGATTTTAATAAAGTATGCTTTGAAAACTTAAACAAAATTCAACAAAAAAATCCACAAAGACATATGAAACCTCTGTATTCAGTTTTAGAGCCAGGTTTTGGTCTTCCATACAAACGGTGACCAACAGGTGGAAGATCATGAGCCTCTGGAGTCCAACTTCCTGAAAATGGATTAACTTTCTGTCTGTTTTGATGACTCTCTGCCCAGTTTTCCCAACTATGTTTCACTGAATTAAAATTGTAGAGAGCTTTTCTCACTGTTTCCATCTGCAGTTTTATAATTTATTAGATTTTATTTTTAATTCTTTCTTAATGTTAGTTGATAATAATGAATATAAATAATAAATAATGTTAAATTAAAAAAATGAAGGTAAATTATGATCATCAAATCTCAAATTGAATGAAAAATATTTAAAAAATTTTCAAAATTGTTATTGCAATTGTCAGTCAGTTTCCAAAAACTGGTTGTGAGTGGTTGCTGTTTGTTGACTGACAATCAGTTGATAATCACATCACATCAGTCAGAGAATTAGTGCAAAGTCAAGTTCAGGTCTTTGTCAACCACTGAAAAAAACAAAAAATAAAAACTCAGCAAATAATAACCTGTTTGCACCAGACGAAAATATCTCAGAATTCAGATAAAAATTATGCGAAATTTGATTAACTTAACCATAAAAACAAAAACTTAACGACGAATTACTTGGCAACGCTACGTCGAAGCTGTAAATTTTATTCCACTCCGCCACCTGGCGACAAATTTGTTCAACGATGGATCAAGATCAAATTCACTGGTTTACCAGTGAATTTATTAATTCATTGAATAAATTTATTAATTCATTGGTACACCAATGAATTATAATATATCATATATATTACATTGTGTACATTAATATAAAATACACATATGTATTGGTATATATATATGCATATGTATATATATATATATATATATATATATAGAGAGAGAGAGAGAGAGATAGAGAGATAGAATGACATATATCCTAATTATATGTTTATATACAAATAGTGGTACCCTATAGATGAAGATATTTTGGCAACTTTGTTAATTTTTTGTAAGATGCACAGGTGCATGGGTAGCAAACATTTAACGTTTCAAGAAAATCACACATAATCAGTTAGTAAATTAGAGAAAACACGGTCAAACAGCTTGATATTTTTGAAAACTTGAAGCAAAAAATATATATCTTTTAAACGATTCCGATAAATATAAACGGAAATGACACAAAAAATTAGTGTAGCGTGCATTAGACATTATCTTGAATTGTTACAATGCAATAAATCATAACTAGTTAAATTAGAAAATAATACGAAGGAAACTTATATGCACACACAGACGCACACACACACACAGATATATATATATATAATATATATATATATAAATATATGTAATCACAAATTCGAGTGTGGCTTTTAAAATCAATTTAATCATCACACGAATATCAATGATAAAACATTATTTTAACGTAAAAAAAATATTAAAATATTCAAAATAGAATAGTTGAGTGATTGATTGATTGAATAAATGATTGATTGATTGATAGTACACATTCGCTTTGTAATAAGGAAAAAATTGATAATGTCAAACAAATAAATTCCAAGATAAAATTAATATGACATCGCATATTAATTAAAATAAATAAAGTTGTTTATACGTAACCAAATTGATTGCTTTAGTAATGATGTAATAATTTAATATGTGGCCTCTAAACAGTGAATCTTTAAAAATCGGCAAAGAAATTTAAAGTAAGAATTAAATTCATTTTTCAAAAACTTCCTCTTAAAAATTATTTCAAATCGATTGAGAAACATGAAATGAATGAATTTATAATGTTATAGGTGCACATTTTGTCGAATTAATATGACAAAATTAGTGATAATTCTCATAGAGACAATTTTATTGACTATATATTAGCTGAAAATTAAGTTCATATGGTAGATACATATATAAAATTAATGATAAAATCTTGGGTGATAAAAATTTATTTTTGTAAAAATTTTATATATATATATTTTTCGGACAAATTTTATTAATATTTAAAAAAGAAATAAGATATGTAGGTCCAACGATCTAATTAGCCAGCTTATTAGAATGAATGCGGTAAACATTTTCATAAATAAGAAAAAAAAATTCAGCCATCTCAATTGATATCTATCTATCTATCTATCTATCTATCTATCTATCTATCTATCTATCTATCTATCTATCTATCTATCTATCTATCTATTTATCTATCTAATGTGTATCTATATATAACATGTCGTAGAGACGTGATGGCATATAAAAAAATGTACAGACAAACAAACGCAAATACAAACATAAAAACACGCATACAAATAATGTACAAACATGCATACAAACATCCACTGAAAACATACAAACAATTAAATATCCTAATAAAGCGCTCAACATCGTTGTACACAAATGTACGCTCACATAGAAATGTATTCTACATACAAGTATATATTGTACGATATATACAATACAATGTGTGTACCATGTCACAAAACACCACACAAACACACAATACACATTCGGCAAAGGAGTATGTAATAGTCATCATCATCTTTGTCAAAATCTTCGTCGTCTTCGTCTTCCTCCTCACCATAAAAAAATCGAAATGTTCACATAGGGTCGACAGATACCTCACTTGAAGATTGCCGTAAAATTAGATATCATGGAAGGATAGTAGTATATGGGAGCAAATTCAAGATAGATGGAAAGAAAGTTTTCCTTCATTCATGGCGAAAAGTAATTTCTCCTTCAGGATCTCACTGCTCGAGTAGTTTGGAAGTTTCAGGTAGTTAGCACACGTCATGACCGATGGCAGATAGTCGTCTGCATTTGAACCCAACTCAACCGTGCGACGAACGATTGTCAGGGGTGGCTTGAGACTCTTCAGACCTGTTGTTTTTGTTCGTTTGAGTGCAAGAATTGTGGGGACGACGAATAGCGTCCTTGTTTATTATGATGTATGATTAACCAAACGAGTAAACAATTAAACAAGCAAATAAACAAATGAGCGAACGAACGAATAAACGAACAAACAGACAAACACACCTCCAATGGGAAGTCTCGGAGAACCCGTGATGAATTGAACGAATAATCTCTGCTGCTTATGACTAAATGAAGCCATAACGTTAAATAAGTGATGCACCGTCGTCGAGTCCTGCGAATATCCATGGTCGGTCCGACAGACTCCCATGAGGTAGGAGGGAGTCCATTGGTCGGCGTTGTTCACGGTTCGGTATGTTGTCGATCCGCAGAATAAAATGTCCAGCTGACAGCGATCACACATAACCATTCAAACATTCGTCAATTAACCAATTTTTCGTTTTAAAAATAAAAAATCACTTGGAGGAAAATGTTTAAATAAACGTTTAAATGAGTGAAACGAACTTCATGTGCATAGAACAATCGGAGAGATGATAGAAGTAGGAAGGATTCGAACCCGAGTCTGACGGAAAACATCTGCCTTTGCACACCTCCGATTAACAACCAGTACACACATTTCTGCAATAAGGTGTTGAGCTCTCGTTTACTAATTATTTATTTATTTATTTAACACAACTGACCAGAGGACCCAACGGACCACTTACCCAATCAGGAAGAAAAAAGAAATGTTATAAAGCTAGGCAATTGGCAGACAGATAAAAAAGTCAGCACAATTATTAAAATAATTTAAAACGATCAAGCCATCATAAAATTTACCAAAGCGAGATAAAATTTATTTCCATAAAAAAAAACATTCGTCCAACAAACCTCAACATAGTCTTCCAAATTGTCGATAGTAACAGCAACTTGCGAGCCCTCGTGGACTAGGTCAATGTTCGAGTACCCCGGCAAGGTGAAGGTCAGACAGAGGTCATCTATGCTGCACCCGTCCAGGGTTAATGATTCTATTTGTTCACGCTTCTCAGCTGCAGACTAAAATAATTAAAAATGATAGAAATTGAAATGAGAAACTTTTGATGAGAAAGTTAATTGAAAAACAAATCGGCAACAAACCAAATCTCGTCTGCTCTCAACGCTCTCCTTCATATTGACCAAGCACTGCATCTTATGGAGTATGTTGTACAAGCCCCTATCTACATACCGCAGGTCAGATAAGTTCAGGGTCGATTCCTCACCTCTCAACCATTTGTAAAAGCAGATACTCAGCGGAAGGTCCAGCTATTTATTGAAATTTATTAATGAATACTTTAAAATATCACTCTCTCTCGAACGACTCTATCTTGATAGGATTCCTTCGAAGTATTGCACATATTGGAATGCTGCCTATGGAGAGAGAACGATATTACAAGCACCACCACCAGCTAATGCTGATGGTAAGTACTGCACATGAAGATATAATTATAAGCACCCAATCAATGTTTGCTAATGGAATACAATATAAAAGTTGGAAAAACTATGAAAAAACAAAATTAAAAGTTTCTTGCAAACAAAAAAGCGTACTTAAAAATTCTACAAAAATGTTAGAGAATGAACAAACACGAAACAAACAACCAGCCATCAACAACAAAAAAAAAACAAACAAACAGCATTGGTAAGTACAAGAACATCACTAACGAATCTGGAATCAATGAGACACTTAGCCATGAACCTTCCGAGAAATTCGAACTTATCGAGGATCATCTGCAGACGTTTGCCATCCTCTTCCTTCACAGTAGCGACATCTGGCATTGGCTTCGGGTAGAGAAATGATGATGGCGGTTGCACGAAAATCTCATCGCTGCTATCGTCATTCTCGCTACTACTGTTACTACTACTCGTCGCGATAGTATTAGCGTTGCTTGAAGACTTATCAGTTTTGTTATCACCGCCATAACTTCTTATCATTTCATCATCGGCGTGGTGCTGGGTCCTTTCATCTATCTTTTCATCCTCATTCTCATCATCTTCACCATAATCATCATCGCCCCAACTTTTCTTAGCCGAAGCACGAGGAACTATTTTTTCTCTATCGACATTGGGGCGATTTTCCTCACCATGACCACTAGCAGCAGCAGTAGCAGCTTCTTTGGAGGCTGCATTCCAGGAAGCAGCATCGCCGCCGCTAGCGACACCACCGTCGTCGTTGTTATCACTGGCTGTACCGATCCAGAGGTGATATTTGTAGAGTTGAAGCTGCTGGGAGACCAACGTGTAGAACTCCAACGTCGGACCCAGGCCGAACCCCGCCTATAGGTGCGAAACATTTTCAAAAATTTTTTTCATTCTTATCAATTCATTAATTAATTTAATTAAATAATTTAATTAATTTTACTAACTTAATTATGCCAAAAAATAAAAATATTTTTCCGGGTAATTTTTGTTATTGGAATAATTAGAGCGACAAGCAGCAGTTACAGTAAAACAAAACGAAGTAAAAACAAAACAAACGAACCGGCTAACATTAAACTTTGAATAATACTAAATAAGTAAATAAGCCTACCTCGTCATGAAACTGGATCTCGAGGACAGCATTAGATCCAACCAACTCATCCAATACAATCTCTGCTTGGTTCAGAACGTCATCTCTCTTTATTATTTTCTGCCATTTTATTCATAACATATGAAAAAATGAAAAAAAATAACATACAACGTACAGACACACAAACACACCAGCACACACAATCACACACACAATCACACACCTACACACCTTAACTTTTTCCACATTACAAGGAATCTTATTTAAAGCGACACCGTCCTGTCCAGCGTGAGAAGCAGCTACAGCAGCTACCTGCAGCTGTTGTAACTGCTGCTGCTGCTGTTGCTGGTCGTTGAATTTGTTGATTGCTCGCTGCTTGTCCACGTCCACCAGCCAAAATATACGACAGCGTATCTCGAACGGAAGTAAAAAGGAACTGGAAGATATAAATTCATCCAATCATTTATACACCATCTAAATAATTATACTAGCACATAATTTTCATAAATTAATCACGAAACTGACCATGACAGAGCCAGGTCAACGACCCATTGAGGTAGATAACCCGACGAAACAATGCTGACATCATTAAGTAGCTTCGTTATCTTCGAGGTCATTTTATTACTAATAAACTCCATATAATGATGATGACGTTCGTGATGACCGTACTCATCGTCATCATCGCCATCGTCGTCGTCGCCGCCACGACCACCGCCACTTCTTAAAATGACGTCATCGTTTTCCAGGTTGAAACTCCACCGTTGTTGGTCATCGTTGAGGAAGGTGCTGCCAGGATCCTGATGGTGTTGATGAGTGAGATGATGATGATGACGGTGGTGGTGATGACGACCTCCGAATAATGTACTCTCCAGGTTCTTTAAAACGTCTGTATCGGTAGCCTGTTTGAAGCGTGTATTTTTAGCATACATGGACAAGCCTTTTGTGAGAAAGTCATCGACTTAAACGAATAATTTAATAAAAAAATGAGTGAAGTAATAAATAAAAGTAACATAATAAAAACATAAAAGTATATAATAATAATAATAATAATAAACCTTATATAGTTCCTTCCATTCAGCCAGCAAATTATATAATATGATCAGCAGCTGTAGTACAGTTTTTGACGGGTCATTAATATCCATGAGCACGTGGGAGTGGTTTAGGGTCTGCCAATCAAAATTGCTCTGGTTCCTCTTTCTGACTGGTAGTTTGGCGGTGGCTTTTGCCTTTGATGCTGTTAGAATATGTATGAATGAATTATGTTAATGAGAAGCTAGTTAAAAATACAAAATGGACATACTCGTGTTCTCTTTTTCTCTATCCTTCCCTCTCTCATCCATAATCATACTAATACTTTTTTATTTCTCTCTCTCTCTCTCTCTCTCTCTCTCTCTCTCTCTCTCTCTCTCTCTCTCTCTCTCTCTCTGTCTCTCTCTCTTATAATAATAATCTCTCTCTCTTACTCGTTGTCACTCTTTCTCTCTGTCTCTCTCAGTTTTTTAAGAATTGTACTATTGCAGAAGAAATATATACTTACATTGCTCTTGTCGCCGTAGAATTTTCTGGAGAGGTGAGTGCAGATAATGTATATCGTGATGATGGCGAGGATGACCAAGAGACAATGATGCTGACGATGACGATGACTGCCCGGGCGAGCGATGATGATGATAATTGTGATGCTGACCGTGTTGTCGATGAGCGATTCTAATGAAGTTGGCGAGGTTGTGCTGATGATGATGTGGTTGACCTGACGATGAAGTATGATAGTGTTGAGTGATGGAATGAAGAGTGTGATGATGTGCTTGATGATGATGCTGCTGCTGATGACGATGGTGGCTGTAGTCGCGATCGTCATAACGAGATTTCTTAGGATGGATGACGATCGATGACGATTTGAAATCTTGTGCAGCTGTTGATGATGATAATGATGATGACGACGACTGCAAAGGTGGTGGTGACGATGTTGGTTGCAGCTGCGAATGTCTGCTAGATGTTGCCGATGCTGCTGCTGTTGCTGCTGAGGGTGTTGTTGTTGTTGTTGATGTCACAGTCTTCCTTAGAAATGTTAAGGGTGATTTTGTAGCACTTAACGCCGAAGATGTTAATGTTGATGTTGTTGCTGGCGATTTTGTGGTTGTGGTTGTTGTAGCTGCAGTAGACGCATGAGATCTTGCGGGATTCAATGACAAGTTGCCGATTTTAGGCGGAGACAATATGGAAAGTGATGAGGACAACGACGGCGGCGTCTGTGACTGATCTTTCACCAGCGGCTTGTAGCTGGTGGTGGGTGTGATTTGAATGAAAAAAAATTAAATTTGTAGAAAGAAAGATGAAATTAAATTCATTAATTTTATAATTATCATCATTTTCATCTTCATTTTCATCATCAGCTTTATCCTCACAAGATAATATGCTCTGAATTCCAGATGTGATGATCACTTAATGATGATGACGACGACGACGATGACGTTGACGACGCTGGTGGTGAAGATGAGAACCATTTAACGGCTTGATAGATAGTTGTACCTGGTGGTATGAAATTGATTTAATTAAATCAAAATTTGCGAATCAACATTTTAAAAATCAGTCGGTCGGTGTCCGTTGGTCAGTCGGTCAGCGAACCTCGAGGTATGAGATTTTGCCCAATATAAAATTGAATGCCTCTCAAAATTGGAACAGGTACTGATGATGATACTGGCGACGATGGTGACGATAATGACGTCATGTTTGGTACCACTTCGCCAGACGTCATTCTCATCATCTCGGCAAAGGATAGTTTATTCTGGGTGGTGGATGTTGACTGTTATTGTCAGCATTAACATTATTATTACTATTATTATTAATATTAATATTATTATTATTACTATTATTATTATTATCATCATCATTGGAAAATAAACTTTAGCACAGACCTGCCTGTCAACAGAAGAGCCATTATCATCATCGTCGTCGTCGTCGTCATAACCCCCAACGCCATCATTATCACGGCCATAGATGACGGCGACAGCATCGTCACCACCACCACCACCGTCGTCGTCACTGTCGTCTTCGAAATCGTCATCGTCACCTTCCATGTCATCATCCTCCATCATAGTGTCATTAAGTGCACTGGATAGCTGGAAATTTATAATAATAATAATATGAATAATAATAATAATTACATTCATTATTATAATATTTGTTACAAAAAAAGCCACTGCAAAACAAGTAACAATTCTAACAAAACCACAGCAACTGTATAACACTACTTACTCGAAAGTGCCTCGAACTTCTAGCAATATATTTCTGCAGCGAATGAACGCACGTAAATGGGTCAACCCTGGCTCGACCGGCTTTCCAATCATAGGGCGACGTAAAACAGGAAGAGTGGGGTTTCAGTTTGACCTAATTACATAAATCGCTAACTAATTACTGACTGCATTAAGTTCTTCACTCACTAATTTTTGTTAATTAATTACAGTGAGTTGTTAGTTACTAACTATAAATTGTGAATACTTCGTCAGAATAAATCAATAAAAGAAAAAAAATTGATGTAGAACCAAATTTGAAAGAAACAAACAAACAAACGAGTAAACAAACAACCAACCAACCAACCAACCAACCAACCGACCGACCAATCAATCAATCAATCAATCAATCAATCAATCAATCAATCAATCAATCAATCAATCAATCAATCAATCAATCAATCAATCAATCAATCAATCAATCAATCAATCAATCAATCAATCAATCAATCAATCAATCAATCAATCTATCAAACAAACATACATCAATAAAATTTCTTCTATTAAACTTGGTCATATTGCTACTGCCAACTGATCCACTGACGCCCCCACCGGCACTTGCACCAGTCCCCATTGGGGCTTTCCTGGCCGGGCCCTCTTGCAGCATTATGTGGTACCGAAGTTGGCGCGTGTTGGCTGCATTCTCCGCGTTTCTAGCTACAAACTTATGAAAATAAATGTTGCTTGTGGGTTAGTTTGATTGGGGTATGAAAAAATGAATAAACGAAGGAATGAATGAATAATGAATGATGAAATAAATGAATGAAAGAATAAATGAAAGAATGAATGAGTAACTAAACGAGTAAGCGAATGAAATTAAATCGGACAATTTCAATATATACAAACATAAACAGACATTAGCTTCTACTACTAAATTACTACAGACAACCTTCTCAACATGGTGGAAACACGTGATCAACTTAGAAACAAGTTGATAAAACGGTTTGGCGTCTGACGCCACTGATGACGACATCGTCGTCGTCGTTGTTGTTGTTGTTGTATTTGACGATGTTGTTGCAATCGTTGCGTTAGAGATAAACTTTTCTTTCTATGAGTACAATCATTGTGATGGAGATATTGATAAGCCAATTGATTTAATTAAGACAAATGATAATGTTTTGTTGAATGAATGAATAAATGAGTGAGTGAATGAGTGAGTGAATAAGTAAATTAAATAATTTAATAAACAAAACCAACCGGACATGCAAAGAAAGAATGAAGAAATATCCTCAGTCTATCATTCCGTAACTCCATCCTCTTTCTCCTCCCAATCTTCTTTGCTTTCTTAATATCACTGGCGTCATTATCATCATCATCGTCTTCGTTATCACCGGCTTCATCGGCGGCTGAACAACTATTATCACCATCATCAGTAAGAGTGGTGGTAGTGGTAGTTGTGGTGCTAGAAAAGTAGGAAAGGTTAAAGTTCAGATAAGCTATAAGTAGTTCGACAAAATTGCTTTGTATGAGCTCGAAAGGGGAGATGTCATTGTGGGTGATGAGATCCGAGAGGGCATGCAACTGAAGTAGGTCACTGACCTAGATTTAAGGGGTTGGTGGGTGTGCGATGATGAAAATTTGTGCAACATTGATGGTGATGTTAGAAAATAATGATGAGTTAAAAAAAAATCAAAAAGATGGTTTGTATTTTGCATGAGTTGTATGATAAGATAGTGCGTGTTTTTATATCTGATCAAATTCCAAACCAGAATCCTTCCTTTTCAATGGTAAGCAATAATGAAAATGATGATCACGAAAATATCTACAACAAGACATACAGGACTTAAAAGTTGAAATTCGTATAATGAAAAATAAAAAAGAAAAGGAGAAGAAACATCTCACCGATTCATCATCGGCATCTTTGCCAAGAGCCAACATGATCTCAGATAACTGATTGAGAATATTGATGGATGGATGGATGGATGAATGCGTGCTGCTGAAATAGGTGTCCAAGAAATAGGAGGCAAAAAGGACGACCCATTGGTTGATCAGTGCTTCGTTGTTCGCTGATGGCTCGCTGGCTGCCTCACCGCTTGGTTGCTGAGATTTCTGCATTGAATGAATGAATGAATGAATGAATGAAAGAACAAACGATTAAATGAATGAATGAAAGAACAAACGATTAAATGAATGAATACATAAATGAATGAATCAATCATTAATTCATTCAGTTGAAATGTAAACAGCTAATTAGCAAACAGAACACTCACCCGCACCTTCAAATTTGAAGAATTCTTATTGGTCGACGAGGCGGACGAACCTGACCCGGATAGCCTACTGCCCCAGTTGGCTGGATTGAGACTGGACAGGAAGTTTTTGGACATGGACTTGGAAGTTGAGGTGGATGATGGTGGGGAGGAAGAGGATGTTGCAGCTGGAAACTTGGATTGCTGTTGGTGGTCCTTCGCTGTGAAGCAACATTTAAATATAAACATACCAAGTCGTAACAAATCAGCTTGGAAAACAGACAAAAACAGACAAAAAAATTGAAGCAAAACAATTTTAGACAAATTGATTAAAGCTGCACTAACGATGAAAACAAGTAACTGAAAGATGAAAGTTGGAAGACACACCAAAAAGTGGATGGACAACGTTACGAAATAAGATGCATACATTGAACGCAGCCACTAATAACCACAACCACCACAACCAAAAACATGTATAACTCCAACAAAACACCTAAAACTACATAACAAACCTCCAAACAGCTTAGACTTAGCGGTGGACACAAAAGAATGAGGCACAGAAGAATGGTGTCGAGAGGATGATGATGACGACGACGAGGAGCTCGATGACGACGTTGTCGCTGCTGCAGTTGCCGATACCATTCTCTCATTCAATCCATATTGAGAAAGTTGTTGATGCTGTTGTTGGTGGTGAAAAAGAGAAGGAAGGAGTAGTTGTGGTTGCGGTTGGTGGCGAGGAGGGAGTGGAAGGGAATGCTGCTGCTGACTTTGCATTGGGAAGGTGATCTTGTAGTGTGCCGGCTGGAGGAATGGAGTCAGTTGTGATGTGTGAAGTTGTGGCGGTGCAGGTTGAGACTGAAGCTGAGGTACCAGTGGTAGCTGCCTCTGCTGCGTTTCTTCAAAATTTGAAACATCAAATTAAAGTTACTAAATGTTTTATGCTTATTCACTCAACCATTTTTAAACTACTAGAGTCCTCAATTGCGCTCAAAATGAATTAGAAAAGAAACTGATAAAAATATTGATTGGGGATAAACTCGTCTCAGCTAATACTAACGATAGGGAAAGTACTGTTGTATCTGCTGACGATACGGCTGCTGATGATAGAGTTGTGACTGACTTTGAAAATGTTGCTGTTGTTGTGCATACTGTTGCGGGGTTTGTAGCTGCTGCATCGGCAACTGTTGCTGAATAGACAGCTGTTGTATCGGCAGCTGTTGCTGAATAGACAGCTGTTGTAGTACTGGCAGTTGTTGGTACTGATTTTGAGGCGACGGTAGTGGTAGAGGTGATATAAGTTGTTGTTGTTGCTGCTGTTGTTGCATGTGGTAGTTGTAAATAGAGTTGTACGTATACGAGGCGTTGTTTGGCCTCCTATCATGAATAGAAAGCATGGACTGATAATGGTGATGTTGTTGCTGCTGCGGCTGTTGATACTGATGATGATGAGGAGGAAGATGGTGAGCGGATGACCTATATGGAAGACCGCCCTGATTGGATGGAAATGACCCAATTACTGCCGAACTAGCGGATTGGTTCTGGTTGAATTGTGGTTGCTGCTGGTGATCGGGTCTCCTGTTGCTTCTTATTACATCAGATATTCTTCTGCCATCGTGAAAGAAGGAGTAAATTTTAATATTATTTATACCTTCACGACTTTTGTTTCGTTGCTATTCTCATCAAGAAAAATGAATGCGAAATGAAACACTAACACTTGTACAGTTGATGTTGGGTTCGGTGCTGATGACGATGTCGTGGAGTAGGAGGAGGATGAAGACTCCCTACTCACCTGGCTGAGATCAATACGATGTCCTCCCGTCGACCATCTGCTGCTGCTGCTCGCTGTGGCTGACGACGATGACGTCATAGTTACATTGCTAACCAAGTTCATCTGCACGTAATTGGCACCCTTGGAATACATGACGGACGACGAGGACGCTGACGATGATGACGTCGAGTCATATTTGCTAATTGAGCTGGATTGTTTTGACTGTTGTTGATTCGCTGTTTCTTTCGTTACCATGGCAGCCGATGACGATGACGTATGATGTTGCGTTGAGATCCGTTCTACGTTTGTACCGCCAGGTAACATGTGCTGCATGCCCGTCTGCGCCAAGTGTGCCATCTGGTGTACTACTCCTGTTGCATGCGTGTGTTTGTTTGCGAGTTGGAATGAACGTATGTGTATGCACTGTAAGTGTGTATATGTGTAAATACAAACATGCATTCTGTTCAGTTGTTTGGAAAGCGCTTTGCAACAATACACATTTGATCATATTAAGTTCATGAAGGAGTGGATAAATAAATACAACAACGAAAAAAAATAACTTAGTCACATTTCTATTATAATAAGAAACGTGCACATCTCTGAAATAATAATAATATTAACAATAATCAATCCCCACAATCATGAATAATAATTACCCTGTCTACGAAAGTAAACATCGAAAATATCCGAAAGTTTGTCCATGAGGAGGTGTGAGAGTTGGATGGATGAGACCAGCGTAGTGACGTCACTGCTCGTCAACATGTCTGCTATCAAACTGGTGATAGAGTGATTGGTTAATTGATTGATTGGTTGATAGATAGATTGGTTGATTGATTGATTGATAGGTAGATAGACTGGTTGAAAGATTAGTTGATTGAGTGACTGAGAATTCAACAACTTTGACAGTTAAATTATATCTACAATTCTCATTAATATAACAAAATATTCAGCCAATAAAATCATCAGCCAATCAGCCAGCCAATTAATCAACCAACCAATCAATTAACCAACCAATCAACCAACCAACCAATCACCAACCAACCAATCACCGACCTAGATATGGGTACAGATATAAGAACAGTTCTCAGCAGGTCGGAAGTTGAATAGTGGATCATTCTTAAAAGGGCATTCAAACACCTGTGCTTCACCGCCAAACTGGCCTAACAACAACAACAAAAACCAAAATAATAACAACAAATAATAATAACGATATAAAAAATCCAAATCGCCTATATTAGAAGCCTGCCTAACAGGTAGTAGAGTAGTAGTAGCAGTAGTAACGAAAAATCATGACATATACAATTAATACTACTAATAATAACAATAATATCAACAGCAACAACAATAGAAAATAACAACAACAATCAATCTTCGTTTAGCGTCCAGAGACCCAGTTCCCCCGAGGTAGGACGTTGTCTTCTTAGCCAACATGTTTTCTTTGCCAACAACAACAACAACAACAGCAACAACAACAACAACAGCAACAAATGCCTAACAGTAGCCGTGAAGACTTCGTAGGTGACAGGCAGTAGCATAGTGATCAAGTCATCCAACAACGTTGAATGGTGAAATGATATGATGTTGTCGCTGTTGTTGTTGCTGCTACTACTACTCGAAAGTGGTAGTAACGACGACGCTGTAGTTGCTGTTGTTGATGATGACCCAGCTGCTGCTTGCGAGTATTGTTCATTTTTCAAATAGAAAAAGGATTGTTGTAATGAAATTTATTTATAACACGAATTGAAGGATGGATGGATGGATAGATTGATGGATGGATGGACGGATTGATGGATGGATGGATAGATAGACGGATGGATGAATAGATTAATAGATTGATGGATGGATGGATTGATTGATAAATAAGTGGACACTGTCATTTTTCAAATGCTTACAACGAATTTTCGGACAAATTAAAAAAACAACACCAAAATATCGCAATAAATGAAAAAAATTTCTTTTCAAACCCATTAACAAAAATTATAAGCTATAAAATTAAACAAATATACAAATTAGATCACATTTTTTATTATGATGGCTGGACGACGACGACGATTGCTGCTGCTGCTGAGTCTTAGTCCTAAAAAACATTCTACGGATGGAAGTAGTGGCTAAAGGCGTAGCTGCTGACGACGATGACGATTTTATCAACGGCTTTGAAAACGATGACGTCACGGATGATGTCATTTGTTTCTCTACATTGTAGGATCGTTGCATAGTGGCGAAATTGATGTGTAGAATGTGCTGGTGGTTTGATTGAGTACCATCGCTGCCGATGGACAACTCGTGTTCGCCCGCCTTGTATGACATCTTTACAAATAGGTATGCGTGTGTGTTTGTGTGTGTGTTTGTGTGTGTGTTCTTGCTCATGTTGAATGGGTCAGAAACATCACCAAGATAAATAATCACTTACCAATCAGTCAATCAATATCTGACAATATCAGCAGACCAACTTCGTCAACCGACCAACCAACCGTCCAGCCAATCTAGCGACTAACTTCAATAAGTTCATCCTCTGCGGTCCCGAAATTTTTCCACACCCCCTTTTCATCGAGGTACTGCCAATGATGGAGGCCCTCTCCCGACACATCGCAACCAAGCAGCTCGCACGCGGACGCGACGGCTGCCACGACTTCATTAATAGAAAACAATTGGTTGAGAAAATCTTTACTACCACTACTGCGGCTGTTTATATTTTGTAGAGCTGTGGTCATCGGGGTAGTCGTGGTGGCCGTGGTGGTAGATGACGAGGCGTTTGTGGAGTGGGGAAGCGGAGGAAGGAGGTTGCTAATGAGATTGACAGTTTCGTATGTCTCTTGAATCGATCTGGGAACCAACTGATTGGAAAATAAATTACACATCCGTCAGTCAGTTGAACGAATGAATGAATCAGTAGTTGAGTTGATTGATGCATAGTAATCATTCAAGTGACAACCAGCCAAACGACCAACGAACCGATCAACCAACAAACCAATCAACCAACAAACCAATCAACCAACAAACCAATCAACCAACCGACCATTCAACCAACCAGCCAACCAACTAATCGATCAGTCAATCGAAAAACGAACTTCAATATGCAAGGCGGCACTGGCGTCCTTCTTCGAGCCAACCAGCAGATACAACAAAGTCTCAGAAATCCCTGTGGCGGGCCAATGCAATTTTATTACTGTTACATCATTGTTACATCATGCTATTGCTGTTACTAATTCCACAAAACAAACATCAAAACCGACAATCGCAAGAATAACGGAATCAACAAAACATCTATTAAATCAAAAACATCAAGAAACCTATCATCCTCAACAACAACATCAACAACAACAACATCAACGACAACATCAACAACAACAACATCAATAACAACATCAACAACAACATCAACAACAACATCAACAACAACAACAACATCAACAGCAACATCAACAGCAACATCAACAACAACAGCAGCAACAACAACATCAACACACTCGATTGTAACAGGAGCAACTTGAGTTGAAATGATGAGCAGCACAAAATATTCATCATGTTGATGATGTTGTTGTACGTTGTTGAACTTATGACAGATGGAGTTATTATTAACTGCGTATAATAAGGTAACAAATTTATATGGATGAATGGACGAACTGATGAATGAATGAATGAATGAATAAATGAATGAATGAATTAATTAATTAATGAATGAATGAATGAATGAATGAATGAATGGATAAATGAATGGACAGATGAACAAACAAACAAAAAATAAAAATCTCATTTAATTAAGGAATAAACAGAAACACACAAGTCGTTGGAGTTTATTGAACAAATCTTCATTAGCAATCTGTTTAAGACAGGATTCATCGTGGCTGAGATTCTCAATCAGTCGGTGAAAACACAGGCAGACACTCTCTAGTGATTTCTTATCCTATGTTAAATAATAATGTTTGAAATTATTTTAAATCCTTCATTTATTATTATTAATCTATAAATTAAATCTTAGATCTTTTCATTCAACTAAATAAGCAATCATTTAACCAACGATCCAACCAAAGAAATCAATCATTATTCAATCACCAAACTATTCGACCCATCAACCAATCAACCAACCAACCAACCAACCAACCAACCAACCAACCAAACAACCGACCTAACCGCCAACCAACTCACCAAACAGCCAACAGACCTGATTAAGCAACCTGCCAGTAAGAACATCAATAGAATTCTTAACGTAATTGAAGTCGCTGGCGTTCTTGACCATCTTGCAGCAGTTGCAGACGATGGTTAGTGCTTTCCTTTGCGCCGGCTCTGATAAGAAGTCGATGAACTTTAGACAGGAAGATATGCCATTCTGTGAGAGAAAAATCTAATAATTATAGTAATTAATTAATTAATTATTGATTTAATTATTATTGATACTGACGAAATTATATACAATCTAATGTAAATTATTCATTGTACGTATATGGAAAACATTAAATAAAAAAGTTTATATAACATGCATGTGTGCGTGCGTGCGTGTGTGTGTGTGAGTAATGAACAGCTCTATAAGGTAAAATTATACAAAACACCCCGCCGAAAAAAGTTACCTTCTTAAGAATGGGTTCCTCATGTTTTCTTGAAATGAGTTCAAGTACTTGCAAAGCATTCTCTGCAATGTCTATGTATTCAACTACTTGGAGCTTTAATAAGTTAGGGTTTAGTTCTTTTTCATTTTTTTTTATTTTTATTGAATTACGTTACGTTATGTTGCGTGTTGTCAAGTTACGTAATGCTGTCACGCTATACCGTACTGCCGTCTGGCGTTTGCCATTGAGTAGCGATAAAAATGATGAAGTGAATTTATGTATCACTGTGAGAAGTGTGTCTCAAAGGTGTGCAGAACATTACTAATTGTTATTAATTAGTTGAGTGATAGATAGATAGATTGATTGATTAATTGATTGATTAATTGGCTGACTGATTAATTGATTAATTAATTACAATATAATAAATTATGGAATTGAAAAAACAAATTTTAATTGAATGTAAAAAAAAATGAACTAGAAAAACGTCTGAGACAAAGAGAGAAAATTCAAAAGCTCTGAAAATCAACAAACTTTTTCAAGGAGGGCAGGTACAGCTTCGACGACAGTGGCTAAACTTCGAGGTGAAAGGTCAATAAAGTAGAAGAGGGCACGACATGAGTAGAGGACAATGTCAGAAGTGAAGTGATCTCCACGAATCAGACGAGTCAGGCAGGAGACGGCCTGCTTGCTCGGGAATGATGACATCGAATCCTCTGAAGCCATGGCTAGAAGCTGATTGGTTGATGATGTGTGTGCGTTTGTGTGTGTGTGCGTATGCTTATGTGAACTGCTGTGATCTATTGTGTGTATCAATGTGTATGTGTGTGTGTGTGTTTTTCAGTGTAAGAATTTATGTTGATATGATATTGATATGTTTTACAATTTTCATTCACACAAAACAACATAGAAGCACACTAACACACACAAACACACACACACACACACACACAACACAAACTCACTTGACACAATTCGACAAGGCAAATGAGTACTTCACTGTCTTCATCGCTCTTGTCCAGTGTCTCAACCAATGACGTTAGGTCACCTGCTATCATAAATGACGATGATGACGATGAAAATAATGATGAAAATAATGATGATGATGACGACGATGATCGAACCAAATTGGGAAGATGATATTGATAAAGATGTCGATAATCAAGCTGATGAGGGTTAGTATCGACAATGGAAAAAATTGTAATGATGATAATAATTTCAACAATACTGCTACTACTATACTACCACTACTACTACTACTACTACTACTGCTACTACTACTACCACTACTACTACTAATAATAATAAAGATAAAATAACAATAATAATAATGACAATAATGGAGACAATAATGAACAAACCTCTTGAGGCCATTTTATGTCTTGCTGTTTCTACCAACAGATGGGTAGGAATAATAATAATAATAATAATAATAACGAACAATATTAATAATAATAGAAACTATTTAGGTTTGTCCGCTTTATTCATTGGGGCATCTGGAAAAATTAAAAATGAATTAATTGAATAAATAAATAAAAATAAACGAGCAAGCAATAGAATAACAGGATATTAAATTTATTAAAAGATGTCGCCTGTTTATTCAAAAATTAAGAAGAGTAGTGTGGAATTTTGTTAGTCGAGGCAGGGCGAAGAAAATTCACTAACATTTACTTCTATCTTGCTAGTAAATTTTTAAATAAATCAACTAAACTTTAAGCAAAAGTTGATAAAAGAGCATGAATAAACAATTTAATATGTTGAAATTTTTCTAGCAATAAAATGAATAAATGAATTTAAAACTTTAAAAAATTTATATAAAAATGATTTATTTTTAACAAGAGTAGATGTAGGTAGAGTAGTAGAGTTAGTTTTCTTTGTTATTAAGAACTTCATTTTGAACAGTAAATGAATGCTAAAACAAAAAAAATAAAAATTACTAAATAAATATTTGAGTACATACTGATAAAAATACCTTAAAATTTTTTTGTCACTCTCTAGTTGTCAGTCAGTTAAGAATAAGATGATAGTTCAATTCAATCAAAGTTAGTGAGTTTCGTAGTTAGGTTTGTAGTGAAAATAATAAAAAAAATCACTCACATAAAATAAAATAGTCAGACGAATTTTTAACTTCTAAATTAATAAATTTCACAATATTAAACTTCATCTGGGCAACTTTAATTCAGAAAATGGACGTTTTCCAGTCCGTCTTAATTGAATTTACGCAATAATAGCTAGGAAATTTTGAACTTATTTTTGTTGAATCAGCTGAATGGATAGAGGCCATATATTAGACATACATTTTCTATAGACGTATATAAATTTGTATGTGATTGTATGGAATACTGATATATACGATAACAACATATACAACTTATATAGTTATATATAATATAGCTTTGTATATTTGTAGTATTATACAGGAAATTTTATATCGGGTGGTTGTTGTGTAGATATTTATATATTATATATTGGCACTAGTAATGTACATATGTCAATGTGTATATTTTATATAATATATAATATATATATGTATATATATGTAAGTGTTAATATATATATATATATGTATTATAACATACATATGTATATATTTTTGTATATATATGTCCGCATGTATGTAACTTCCCTAATATTAGGGCATACAAACATATGTTCATGTATATGAATAATGTAAACACATTTAAATATCTGTATAGGACCAAAAAGACTAAATACCTTGAGGTAATGTATTTAGCGTAACGTAACGAAATGCGCAATGATGCTCCTAAAAAAATAATTCAATGTCAGAAAAATATAATGGTTGGTTAACTGTTTAAAATCCTTTATATTAATATTTAAATTGACTATTTGATTTTATAAAAAAAACTTGTGAAACTTTAAATTTTGTAAGAAATAATAAAATAAATTTTTATTTTTCTTATGAAGTGTTTGAAATACATAGATTATACCAAGGAGCGTATGCCATTCAGTTGTTTATGAAAAGATCGTGTTTGATAAATTTCATTAAATACATCTAAGCGACGAATAAATAAATTACACACGCACGCACGCACGCATATACAGTTATAAACTTACACACGTATAGACACTTATCATATGAGGAAAATTAATATGTATATTAATATATCATACATTTACATCTGTTGGGTTACAAAAATGTGTAAAGAGCAACCATCCAGCGATGTTTGTTGAGTTTTTTTCGCGTTTTTATAGTATTCCGCAACAAAATTTTTTTTCATTTCGTCGTTTTTACAGAATGAATAAACATTTACATACATATACATTTATATATACTGTATTTATATATATACAAGCATGTAAATGCTTAGACGCATTAAACGACATTTTTGTACATGTACAACCGTTAGAGTAGAGGTATAAAGAAGTCAAGTAACAGTCCGTAACGCAGTGTAATTCAGAAGATCTCTGAAACAACCGTCCAACGAGTCGATACTTCGAATTACATACTAACAAATTATCATTAGTATATTATTTATTGCTTTTGTCCAAAATGTTGTGAAAAATCCGTGCTATGATATGACAGTTAGATCATTTGAAAAATAAAAACTTAGATCGGTTATATCTGTTCATCAATTCTTTTAAATATCGTGATCATAAAGACGTAATTTTATCATAAAAAATCTAATAACCTACCTGATAATTTAACTTGAACGATATGATAAAATAAAGAAAAAACTATTTCAGTATATAATAGCAGTGAAGATTAATAATGACATTGTTAATAATCGAAACAACGACAACGATGAGAACAAATTATATATTTGTAAGATTTGTAAAATAAATAAAAATAATTAAGCGATTGAATAGTTGTTATGAATGGGAAAAATAAAATGAGAATAATAGATAAAAATTTAGAAAGAAATTATGTCTTAATCTTGGCGGGCATGGAAGGGAAGGCATTCTGCTTGCTCACGACGAGCTTCTTGTGCTGGTAGGATAGATATCCTTTTATCCTATCCTAATTTGGAATTTCAAAAAAGTATAATTCAATAATTTATTATTATTCATATTATTATCACTCTTACTTTCACCAGTATATAATAATAATATATAAACCATGAATACTTTTTTTATTTATATTACAACGTGATGAAATAATATAGTATAATAATTATATTTTATAAATGAATTTGTTGTGGCAGACCTCGTAAATTAGATTAGCTATTATACACTGCATCTCCTCGTCGTCCATCTCGTCTTCCTTGAAATTATTTTGAAAAAACACATATATAAACACACACACGCGCGCACGCACACACACACACACACGCACAGACACATGCATAAGGTTTTCAGGTGATACTAAAGGCGATTAATATTAAATTATTAGTATTAAATCAGTTTGTACGTAGAGACAAACTGATAAAACAAACAACATAAAAACTGATGAAAGCTAATTAAAAAGTGAAATATTTTCCAAATTCAAGGAAAATAAGATACCCCCATCCATTTAAAGGCTGCAGTGAAAGCAGATATTGGCAGCTGGTGAACTTTCATCAGTAAGGCTCTGTACGTGTTTCACGTAATGAAAATTAGTAATTGAAAATTTCTTTTCAAGATTTCATCTCACGAAAGTCAAACAAAACAAATCAAATAAAAATTATGAAAAAAAGAACCTTAACGATGTTATCAAAACATCGAAAGATGTTTATGGAAAAACAAAAAAACAGCAAACAGCGTCACTATAGTAACACTTTATTATTGCTTTGAAAAACGCAATTTTCAAAATTTATTTTTCATTTAAATAAAAGTTTCAATTGAAATAAAATCAATTGAATTAAAGTTATGTCAAACGAAATCAGAACGTACACTTTCTTAATAAGATTTCTATATGTGATGATTTTGAGTTTCTCTAAAATCAAATATATTCCAGATCTGATAAAGTATCCCTCATTTGATTTCAGTGACTCCGTCAGTAACTTCAAATTTCCCTGGCTATCAGTGTGTGCGTGTGTGTGTGCTCGTTTAATTGTATGTATGTATGTATGTATGTATGTGTTTGTTTGTGTGTGTGTGTGTACATATGTGCGGCGGTTTTTATGTTTGTGTGTATCTATAATTCTATTTGAGTGAACTTATTCATAAATTTGTATGCATGAATGATGTGTATGTTTGTCTGTGCTGTGTAAACGCCTTTGAATATTTGCACATTATAATACATATATATTATAGTATAATATTATTTATTGATAATTATGATTAAAATGAATGAATAAATTAAACGAAACGAATAAATAGACGAAATGAATGAAAGATCAATCTTACATGACCGCCTTGGAGAGCACGGCAAACTGCATCAGGTTGTACTTTTGGAGCAAACTCATTTTTGGCATGTGGCCCTATGTTTAACGAGAAAAAAACAAAAAAAAAAAACAAAAAAATTATTTATTATATAAAAAGAACAAATAAATTAACGATATTTATAATAATAAACTCTTTTCTTAAAAATTAAATCAGTGATGCGTGATTCTGCATAAGCCATTAATAAAAACAGCATTCTAATTTGATAATTCTTTGATTTATTTGAATTTAAAATTTTTTAAAAATGTTTAAAAGTGAAATTAAATAAAGACCAGAAGCATTTTGACGGGTAGAAGGTAAATGAGGATAAGTTTTTTATTCTTCTTCGATCGTTTGTGGCACTTCTGGAATGCATACGTCAGGTAGTCTTCAGCTGTCAAGTGAATGATTGATTGAGTGATTAAACAGGAGGGGGTATGTAGGTATGAATGATTGAATGAATAAATGAATGAATGATTGAGTGGTTGATTCTTTCGCGATTGAGTAATCAAATGAAAGATTGGAAGAATGAATGATTATGCGATTGATATGTGAACAAAAAAATGCAGAACTGATTGATACAATGTATTGAGACCCAATAGAAAAATGATCAGTTCCATATTTCAAACACGAAACTGTATTTACGTACGTATAGATGGCCTTGATGGGTATTTGACAAAAATAAAAAAAACTTACCTGTCTTGTAGTCACTGTCAAATATTGCTTTCCTTCCAACATGATACCTATGCAATAAATGTTCCTATCGATGAGTTTGCAATAAAATAAATCAACCAACCAACAAACCAATCAACCAGCCAACCATCTAACCAACCAATCAACCATCTAACCAACCAATCAACTAGCCAACCATCTAACCAACCTATCAACCAGCCAACCATCTAACCAACCAATCAACCAGCCAACCATCTAACCAACCAATCAACCAGCCAACCATCTAAACAACCAACTAGCCAGCCAACCTATAAGCCACCATCTGAGCTACAGAAAACCTATCCTTCAATGGACTGCTATCAATGGCTCTCACTAAGGGCTTGCATAGGTGCAACTTGTTTATCTACACACAGTAGTTCATAATTTGGAGAGCGTAATTATTAATAATTACGAATATAATATTATTATTATTCATTCATTTCAATCGCCATTATTTTCATTTTCAAATATAATGCTAATAAACCAATCAAATAAAACTAACAAAACCAACCAACCAACCGATCAACCAATCAATCAAATAAATTAACCAACCAACCAAATAAACCAACCAACCAATCAACTAAACAACAAGATAGTGTAATGGTTAGATGCATTACATACAGTAATTATAATGAATAAAATAGGCAAAGTGATGCTTGGAATACCTTGAAGTAAATTTTGAAGAGCTGGTTGATGAGACTCATCATTCCCCACTTCTTTGAATCTTCCAACTGAGCACGACTGGGAAAAAATTAATTATGTGTTTATTTAATTGAAAAAATGAGTAAATAAATGAGTAAAATTAATGAATTGATAGAATAAAAATCAATATATACCTACATTTTTCAATTCTATGAGATTTCAAAATCATAAATATCAATGATTCCAACGATAAAGCAGAGTTATTTGAGTTAATATTTTTTTCTAAGTTCAAGAAATAAATACATGTAAAATAAGAAGCAAATACATGTATATATAAGGATAGATTTGTATTTAGTAAAATAAAACCAAAATATGAAAGTAGTTTAACAATTAAATTAAATGCCGAATTGAATAAAACAAAAATATCAAATTAGTTTGATGTGACTAACTTGTCACTAGCACAGATTCTGAAGCATCCCATAAGAACTTCTGCAGCTTTTTCAAGAGTCTCACCTGGCTTACCTTTGTTCTTCTTCATCAGTTGAACATCGGCCTAAACATAACAAAGACAACAATGATTGAGTGATTGATGTAGTTAGTTATCATCTCACAGTTGAAGATGATTTCATGATAATAAAGTGTCTAAAAATCTAAAAAAAAATATTTATGTCAAGGTTATAAGAAAGAAATTTTTGTAAAAAAGAACTCACATTTAAAATAATTGATAATTTTTATAAAATATAAGCTAAAATAGCATAATAAAACATAAATTAAACTAATGAATAGAATGATCTGCAACTTATTTCTAACAATTTTTATCAAATTTTTTAAAAAATATTTGAAAACAAATATGAAAAATGTATGAAGCAAACATTAGCAGCGAAGACCCTCAGGTCAAGAGAGAGTGTATAGAGGATGGGAAGTGCCCAGTTCTCTTCTTTCTGTGATTGAAACAGTTTACTAAATGCTGTGTTGATTCAAATGACATTTTTTACATTTTCGGATGTTGTTATTGTTTTGAAGATTGATGTCATTGGCAAATGTAGTCGTTGATGTCATCAAACGTTAATGTTGTCATTACCATGTCGTTATTTATTGCATTTGTTAGTTCAGCCATTGTTAAAAATCCAGTTAAGAAAGATAAAATAAAAATAATGCCTTACACCAATTTTAGTTGAATCAAACCCAAAATAAAATGTTGAAAATTTTTAATCAAAACCAACTTTAAAACATAAAGTGAACTAGATAAAAATTGGATAAAAAGATATTGCATGACAATGTATTGGCAATTGTAAGCTTCAATGAAGTCGTGGTTAGCTGCAGCCCAGCAACACCTTATGAAAAAATTATTTTAAACAAAATTGTTTTTAACTCTATTTTTAAATTTTTATTAATGTAAATGACATTTAAAAAAGTGAAAAAAAATTTTGAAAATGTAATAAATTAATTCAAAATTTTTAAAAATTTCTTAAAAAACCTACTTCAAATGGCCAGCAACAATTTCGTCTAGTGGTGGGCCAAACCATTTTTCACATTCAGTCTCTGGTTTCTCTAACTGTAGCCTAACATTGCTGATGTGCGGGTCCCTGAAGGATAACAATACCTAATAAGAAAAAATAAATAAAATTTTCAATCATTGTTTGAAATAATTAATAAACTTAGATCAAAAAATTTTAGAAGGAAGAAAAAGATTACACAAAATAAATAAAGTATGGTACTATAGGTATACCCACATATGTCATATAAAATAAACAAAAAACATTTTCATGTACAATAGGAAAAACAATATATATATAAACAAAATAACAAACTGAACTATAATTTATTTAATAATATTTATTTTATAATTTCAGTACACTTACTGCTACATTGTCTCCATCACGATTTTCAAATGCTGACTCAAACTGAAAAATTAAAAAACGGATTCTGAATTATCATCATGTATATTTCGCACAAGCACAATATATATATATATATATATATTAGATAATATATATATGGCGCACGTTACTACAAAAACCGCGGTGCCGGACAGCCGCAGGGCCTTTAAAAATTAAATATTTTAAAAATGTTTTAAAGATATGAAACGTAATTAAATGAAAATATTTAGCTACGAAGTTTAAAAATAATATTAAAAAGTAACCTTTTGTAGGTACGTATTCAAAGAAATTTGAGCCATTTTTTCGAAGTCTACGCGATCGCAACAAAATTCACTTTTAAGCAGACGACTTAGTGACCATAGTAGGTTGGGAAATATATTTGAGATTTACTTTATTTTACACCTAAACATACTTAACTTAGAATGTGTACTATGTACACGTACGTATCATTATGTATTCTAATTAATTTAATTTAGGTTTAATGTGGAAAAGACATTTAATTAATGTAATTTTTATCAACGTGGGCTTAGGAACATCATTGTTTTGCCCATTTTTTGTTCTTGATAATAATAATAATGATTATTATGAATTCTAAGCTTATGTATGGGTTATAAAAGGTCTATTACACTCTTCCTAGGTCCAAAAAAGATCAACAACATATGTATTTTATTTGATGATATATATGCGAGGTCAGGTATAGCATATATAAGATGAAGGTTGTAGCATAAGTAGCATTAGAAGCCTCAACGGAATATATGAAATGTACCTGGATATGCGTGAATCAACAAGCAACAGGCTGACTTTGAACTATGTTGTTGCAACATAAAATCCAGACACTTAAACATTACACCATCCAACATCTCTATAATATGTGATTTTGTTTTATTTAAATCAACAAAATCAGTTGTTTAGGCATTCATATCAACTTATTAATTTACGTTAAAACTAACTAACTTGATTACTAAAAAATATATAATCGTGTCAAGTCATTGCAAATCATTAATTCCACTATTCAACAACAAAATATTGATTTAAATTTGGGCTTTGAAAATATTTCGGCTTGGAAGAATCCCACGCAACACATTTTTTCATTAGAAGTAATCATCATTTATTTGTTAAGATTATAAATTATGATTTAAAATTTGCAGTACTCCACCCTTGCCAGTATTCAAATCACTAGATTCACAAATTTATTTTCTATTTTTTTCCAGGACCATTCCAATCAGCTGCATATTTCAAGGCTAAGAATAAAAAAAAATTAAATAATAACAAGTGAAAACTTTTGTTAAAAATTTTGATCACCACCCGCAATTTTAGAAGCAGTTGATGCTGATTGTTTCTTTTGTTTGGGTGGGTCGTCTGTTCTCTCAGCTCCGAACGTGCCGCCATCTGATGAAGCTTCATCCAATCTGATGAGTTCACAAATTTGACTCAACAAAACTTAACATTCAATTTTCCCTACATAAAAGCCTCTATACTACAGTTTTTGCTATAACATAGTAATAATAATAACAATAGAAACTGCAAAAATAAAATAAAAGTAATAATAATATAATTATCAATATTATTATATCTACGAGAACAGAGCACATATGATGCATTGCATACATGTGAAAACAACGCACTAAAAGGACATGTTTGCTTTCGAACACAGCCAATTCGCATTTGCGTAAAATTTGAATGCCTGTTTAATTGAGTTTTGTATAACCTGGTAGTTACGAAGGAATCAACGGAAATGATACAAAACTACAGAATCATGACCGCCAGAAAAAACGCTTTTTTGCTCAAAATTGACATTTTTAACTGTTGAAAAGTTTGGAGAAATATCATTTTATACATTGCAAAAATGAGAAGAAAACTAAAACTCGCCCAAACTAACTTGAAAAAATAGCTGTTAAGTTGAATTTATTTATTCATGAACAAGTGGAAATTTGAAGATTTGATGAATAGTACATGCTTTATTGCTTTATGCCTTATATATATATATATATATATATATATATATATATATATATATATATATATATTTAACAAATGCGAATAAAAATGTAAAAAATTGTTGGAAAAATAAACATTTGCAATAATTTATTTAACTAAATAATCACGGTCAAAATTAAACATCAATGTTTGAAAAAAAAATTTCATGGCAATCATGAAATAAGAATTTGATTAACATTTGTTGATGGGTTTATTTAGTTATGTACACAACTACACATACACAAAACAAATACAAAAAGCACGCGAAAAATATTTGAATTTCAATTTAAAAAATGATGTTTCGGCAGGTGTTTTACGATTTTCAAAAAGGGTACTTTCTAAATTTTTTGGTTGATAATTTTTAAAAATTCGATAACTCCACACAAATACGTTTGTCGTTCTCCGTTTCATACAATTTACTTTCTCCACATGATATGGTAAACAAGTTTAAAAAGTCAAGTACTAATAATTAATAATTAACTAAATAACTAATAATTAATTAATTGAGTTAATACAAATTTAATGACGTAGACAATTAAAAGTGAATAACGATAACAATCACAATGCCAGTAAAATAATAATAATTATTGTAATTAAATTTTATAAGCCCCATTAGATCAGCCACCACTGAATGAATCTATAGCAACAAACTAGCTGCCCAATTCACTATATCAGGGTTACGTTTAAAAAATCGAACTATAGTGAGTGATCAGTTCAGTTACATGATAACAATTCGGCCGATTCAAGATACTTCATATCAAAAAACTTCGGGACTTCCATTGGCAAATTATACATTTTCATACTCACGATGAGATTGTGTACTAGGTGAATCTAGTAAAAAAAACTATACCAGCTTAATGTCCACGACAAATTAATTATCTCGTTACTTTAATAGATTCTTAATTATTTTTAAAGTTTAGAAGAACGGCTAGAAAGACTCGCATTTGCTGGTTTGTCATGTCAGCTAGTGTAGATATGCGTTTATTAGTTGATGGTGTTAATGATTAGTGAACAACTATCGAAATTATCGAAGAATTCGCGACAATTACATATTTATTTCTAAACAACTACAGAGTCTATTGATATTTTATTTGATAAAAACCAGACTGATATAAAAATTTTTGAAAGAAGATATTAAACTGATGATAAAAATATCAAATTAGAAAGTTTTATAATCTAAAAGTGTTACAAAATTGAGGCAAACAAATTCATTATTTAATTTAAAATTGCCTCAAAAATAACATTTTTTCAAAATAATCGCACAAGATAGGTATTTCATACTTCCATAATTTTTTAAAAACAATTTCGTTGATATTTCGAACGATGATAGCTGCAAACAGTTAAAACTGCTCCTATTATTCGATCATTTACCATTGAAGATAAAACAATTAACGAAACATTTTACAATTCCTACGTAAGGAAGAAAAATGGAAATAAATCATTGATGGCAGAAAAATTCAAAAGGAATAAACTTGAAATATTAAAAAAATTTGCTCTGGCTCCTAAAAAGAAATCTTTTAAATCCCATATTTGCTTTTCATTTCAATTATTCATACTAATATAACAAATAATTTCACGATATATTTTTTAAAATAAATAATTAATTAAAAGTTGATTTTCATCAAACTAATAATATCGTTAAAGTTAGGCGAAGACAAAGCTCGGACACCCTCATGTTACTTTATAAAAATACTGATACACGCACGCACGCACACAGACACTCACACACAGACACATACATGCATTAAATTATATTCTAATTGCCAATATTGAACGGAAATATTAAAAAATTAAATATAAACCAACAGTGCATAGGGTTGAATAAAGACATTCGCACATTTAATGATGGCCAAAAGATCTTAGAATTACTTTTATCCGCAGTTTCTTACAACTTTCTTTTTAGTATGATTTTATTTTTAATTTGCTTACTTGCTGTAGAAATTTAATTTCATTATTCAAACATCTCGGCGTTCCCTCATGTCATTTTAACTTTATTTAAAAAGTTTAGTCCGGGTGTAGTAAATTTTTAAACGAGTTGTACATTAAAGGAGTAGCAGATACAAGTACAGTTGTAGTGTTTGTAGTAGGTTACGTTTACTAAGCAGCAGTACCATTGCTGAAATGTCTGTTGTTTGATCGATACGACGATGTTAGCTCGAAAAGGCAAGCAACGCTGTGTGTATGAAAAGTTGGCAGGCGAAAGAGAGAGAATGCCGTCTTATTAAATTACAGAAACGTCATTCAACAACTTTCTACTTGACAGTTACGTCACTAAACTTATTAAACCGGTTAGTTATACACTTGTATTACACAGATGACTGGGCCTTTTCCTAATTAAAACTGTTAATTTATTTTGACTATTTAGACAGGAAGTATAAATAGCCGACATTCTTAGTTACTCTATGAATATACCACCGGGTTTTAGTTAATAGTATTCTAATGCATAACTGACGAACTCACATTTACACAAATCTAAGTACCACTGATGTTCGCCTCAAGACTAAGCCAGCAAACTTATAAAAATAATTAAAACGATATAGAAAAACCTTAAACTTAACAAATTGACAATTCAAAACAATTGAAACACGCTAATGTTCTTCTTGCCAGAGTCAGTAACAAACAGTCTGCCACGGGTCTTTTCCATGAAAATTGGGGCGGAATTCCCAAGCCCCGACGATTCCGGGAGGTTCTTTTTAACAAATTCAGGTGACGGATCGAGAGCTTGTTGTTTCCCAGAACGGTAATCGCACACGTACGAGTAACTGGGCGTGTGTTTTTATATTATTATACCATTAATTATTATTTTTATTACCATTTTACAATTAAAAAAAGTTTTTCTTTTAAAAAATCTTAAGTATAAAAAGTTTTTATTGTTCATGTAAAATATTTTATTTAATAAGTTATTGAGCTTTTGTTGAGCCAACCATTATGGTCGACGGCGAAATGTGTGATGTTGCACAAGTCTCGCTCCGTTTCACTTTCGCCACTTGGACTCCATCTTTTGATCAACCGACCTTGACTGTCGATGAGACACATCTGGTCTTTAGTCACACCCACGTAGTTCGAACTTCCGTAGCAAATCAGAAAGCGTTCATCGTCCAACATTGCTATGTGCCTTGTGAACAAATTTTCATTTTCAAATTAATTTTTTCATTTTTCAATTTAGCATTTGTATGAAAATAGAAAGATAATATTAGATATGGATGTAACAAAAAAAAGTATTTGAAACTGATAGCATATCACTTGTTAAAAATGATTACCTTGGTTCATGAACGAAAAAGCAAAGAGAAATTTCTCTTAGAACTCTTCCTTCGCTTGTAAATTCGATGATCTCTCTCTGAAAGTTAGAGGGACTGACCAGAAGTACGGTACCTTTAGGTGTCAATGAGAACCCTTTACTAACACTTTTGTAGAACGCAAAAGATAAAGCGACTTTCGAAAAGTCTGGAGCTAGGGAATGGTTGGAGTAGTACCCGTTGGTACCTCCGCTGGGACCGCAGATACTTTTAACGGCTCCGTTGCTCGTTGTAAGGAAGTTGCAGGCATTTGCTCCTCCGTATCCGTAACTACCGAAGTGACCACCGAAACGATTTTTCAACTGAATCGACCAGTTGACTGAATATTTTGTAGCGATTTCAACTTTGTGAACCGTTAGATTTCGGTTATCGAATACGAAAAGGTCGGTCTTTGTTGAAGCGAGATCGCTTGGGTGGGCTAAAGTTTCAACCAGGAACTTGCTTTTGTATTGAAATGACATCGCATCATACACCTTCGTGATAAATTTGTTAATATATTATTTGTGCGGTTAGGCTAAATATTAATGTTCTTCATTCACGTATTAAAGATTAACAAGTATCTAAGTTGAGAACTCTAATTAAAACTCTGGCAATCATATTTTCCTAACTTTAATCTCGGCGGAATTGGCGATGGCGACAAAAAGTTCCGTGTTAACGACGGTCACACCGACAGCTTCTTCGTTATCCTCATTCTCGATGCAGCCAATGAGTGTGGCCGGCTGGTCGAAGTCCAGAGTTCTGTTGGGCGGGTCTGTCAAATTTGAATAAATTTTATTAAATTTCATTGAATTTAAATAATATTGATCACCGTCGTCGTCATATCTCCTCAAAATTTATTTTTCTTTTTATTTAGAATTAGTTAGCGCTATCTGCGACAGATAAATTGTTTTATGCACTTATTACTTAGGTACTAGTCACAAAACGCAAAGATTTATAACGTCTTTAGATGTATAACAAATTGATTGAGAAGGTTTTTTGCTCCTTATAGTATCGATTTTGAGATGGTTATTTTTTAAATTTACAACGTGGCTCACTCGTTCTGTGCCATTCTCGTTGTTTTCTGTCAAACGATACTGAAAGAAAATTTCTATTTCTACATAATTTATTTCATTTTACGTCGAGTAGAGCCAAGAAATCATGAATCCTTCAGCTACACACGAATGCACTTTCATTAGGATGAACTTTTAATAGGATGAACTTTTAATAGGATGAACTTTTAATAGGATGAACTTTTAATAGAAAGCGATTGTTTTATAAAAAGTGGAAAGAGACATGAGTCCCTATAAATTTCAAATTTCACCACCAGTGTACTTCAATTCGTCATATTAAATCATCTAAACTTGTGTTTGTAAGCAGTGGGAAGAGTGATTGTAATTCTTCAAAGGTAATAATGACACCTGATTTCTTCCACTGAGTTTCGTTCAAACCTGGAATGCCGAGATTCATTTTCTTCATTTCTTGTTATACGTTCTTAAATTTCCCAGTTTGGTACAACCGTACTACGACCGTACTATGTAGAATGAACGAATGTACAAGCGTACAAAAATGATACAACACAGACACGATGATGCACTGCATATGTCTGCTGAACGTGATCTCATTTTTATTGGCGGCGGCAGGTGGTTTGCTGTGTTAGTCAATGTTCATTCTACATAGTACAGTCGTATGTGTACAGCTCTCTTGGTCGGTTAGTCACATAGGTTATTATTATTTTTTTAAACTATAGTTATGAAGAATTGATTTTTTCATTTAAAACATTTCTAGATATATAGTTTAGTTGTACACTCAAAAAAGTTTGCCTAGAAGATCTTAATTGTGTAGTTTTAAAGTTTTCCTATTTTTTACTTACCTAAGTCAATTTTTTTAACTTCAATCTGTCCGATGAGGTTGTACGTGGAGTCTTCCAGCAGGTCGTGGTCCAGCGGCTCTAAATTTATCTCCAAGCTTGATGGCAATCCTGGACAGGATTTTTAACTTTTTAAAACAAAGTGCAAGACTTTTTAACAATATTTATATGACTCCAAAATTTTAAAACTGATTTGCTATTAAGTTTACTGACTAATTGACAAAACTAAAATTATTAAAAATGAGAAAAATGAACCGGCGACTCTTGTCCCGAGAAGTTCAGTGGCTCTGCATTTGATGTCTCTTGCATTGCAGGCCAGGTCGCTGGGGTCAGCTCTCTCGATGACTTCCGTGGTGAAAGTCTTAAAGCTGTCCACCTGCGTTTTCTGTAGCTGCAGCTGACTGCTCACCACGTCACATTCCTTCAGGAGATCTTCTTGCTTCAAGTCCAGTTCCTCGTGAATGGATATTAACTGCATGATGTTTGAAATGTAAAATATTTTAATTTGTATATGGTAGTTAATGTTAAATAATTGCCAACCTGTCTGTCGATAAGTAGTTTGATTTCCTCGGCTCTCCTCGCTGTTTCCTCTTTCACGTTCCTGACGGCTTCGATGAAGGAGACTCTGCACCCGTCCACGTACTCGCCTTGCTTGTCTACCTCACCGCAAATCGTTTCCAATTTTTTCAGGTCCGAGTGAACCCTCTTCTTAAAGTCGTCGTAGAACTCGTCGATCGAGCAGAATTGGTGGTTCTTGTGCTCATGATTCTTACATTTCTGACATACGGCAATCTGAAACAATTTGTTACATCTTAAAAGTGGAAAATTCCTGAGTAGATAAGCATTAAATTTAAAGACGCGGCTTACTTCGCACTGGCAACAGAACGCTTCAGTGACCTCTCTCAAGTGTTTCGGACAACGACTGACTTTCGCAGTAGTACCAGCTGCATTCTTCTCACTGCCACCAACGCCACTTCCTCCGCAACCGCGCAAACTCCTCCTCGACCTATCTCTACTGGCAAACGTGTTACTTTCTTCGTACTCTTGCCAATCGTCATCAACGTTTCGAGCATCGCACAGCTTCTCCACGATGAAATTCTTCGGCAAATCATCCAGACCCCTTTCTGGGATGATGAATTCGGCTCTGCAAACTGGACAGGCGAGTTTTTCCCCGGGACGAACTCCCTTCGAGTACTTGACCAGACACTCCCTACAGAAGGTGTGCACGCAGTGGAGGATTCGTGGATCCCTCATGCACTCCCGGCAAATAGGGCACTCCGTCAGGTCAGCGACTCGATCCAGAAGCTGCTCGGACATTGTAGCTGTTAGTCGTCTGTCGTCAAATCAATTTTGTTTTTTTGATTATTATTTTAGTTTAAATAATTTTATTTAAAAGTTAAACAATTGTTTTAACGAGCAACATAACGTTTTTCTCAATATTCGACATTTTCATAGTTAATTAGAAGTTGTCTCTTTTGATTATTTTGCTTCTTTGAATTTTATTTAAAACTTAAATACATACTCGTAACTTAACCGACATTCATTGTGTGCATGTGCGTGTGTATGCAGTTGACGTCATGCTTCCAGCATTCGACTTGCATACGGACACGATACTGATCGATTGATTGTTCTTTTTGAAATGGGAATTTTTCCTTTCACGATTTGTTCCGTGGTTCAAACGTCTTTTGTTTTCTATAGCAAGGGTTAATTGCTGTCTTTTATTAAGTATGCGTCTCTCTCTCCCTCCCCTTTTCTTACATCTCTCTCTCTCCCTTTTCTTACATCTTTCTCTCTCTCTCTCTTTTCTTACATTCTCTCTTTTTCTCTCTCTACATTCTCTACATATGCATACATTAATTTTTATATAAAAAATAATACATAGAAAATGTGTTTTTTGTATGAACTCATCAAGTCATCTTTTTAAATACACAATGATCGAAATTGCAAGGATTTGTTCCTGTGTTCTGTGGGCGGGCGTGTCTTTGTTCTCAATGTTCTATCTGTGTGTATGTGTGTGTGCGTGCACGCGTGTGTGTGTGCGCTTGTGTATGCGTGTGCATGCATGTGTGTGTGTCGTGTGTGTGCGTGTTCCGCCAGGGTGGTCTTCCAATAAGATTCTTTAATAGTACTTTTTAATTCATTATTATTTTCCAGGTTAAGCTAATTAAGCTAACTTATTCAATGCTGACATCAACTTGTCTTTCGTTTACACACACACATATATATATATATATAATATATATATATATGTTGAAAAAAGACCATATATATATATATATATATTATAATAGTATATATATAATAGTATAGTATAATAATATAATAATATATATATTATAATAGTATATATATATATATATATATATATATATTATAATAGGAAATGTTGTAATTTGTGTCTACGACAGACTGTACAATAACATCAATAATAATAATAATAATAAAATTTATTTTGAATAATATTGTATATGTATGTGTGTATATATTATATTATTAAGACTAAAAGAAAACATTAATAATAATAATAAGAAACTGAAATGATAATATTGATAATCATATTAATAATAAAATAGTCCCATCCCTAACCTATGATATCCAGGTGGAATTCGTATCAATGGTATCCGATATATACATATGTATATGTATTGGATATATGATACCGAAGATTGTATGTTTATGTATATGTATGTGTTTGTATATTTGTATATATAGATATATAGATAGATATAATGATTCAATTGATTATTACAATGGTATCGATCCTTATATACGACTTTCTAAAAGTCTTATGCAATAAAAAAATAATTATTTCATCTTATTAATTTATTATTAATAATTATTTTATTTAGTATGAAAATATAATTCTATAATATATTTGTAATATTAAATTTTAATAAGTTACTTGAAATGACTTTTGATAAGTATAAACTTTAATATATATATAAGTTTAGTAACAGTAACTTAGTGTACATTATAGACGTGTAACTGATTAAGTGAGTGGAAGATGAAATGTTTGAGAGATTGAGAGAGAGAGAGAAAGAGAGAGAGAGAGATAAGAGAGAGAGAGAACACGGCAAAAGCTAACGAGCCAACCAATGTATGTAAATGATGAAAAATCTGGCTACATGGCTTACGTTACACAAATGATGATGCATGTATATGATATGATGAAGATGATGTATGATATAATGAAGTCGATGATGACGAATGCATGAATGACACTGCTGTGTCTGCTGCTATGACTGCTACTGCTGCTGCTGCTGATAATAATGATGCTGATGATGAAAATGATGATGTGTCAAAAATAATGTTGGCGATTGATGATGAGTGAGATGAGGACTATGATGATGGCGATGATGGTGATGATTATTTCGCGACTATTTATGATGACAAATATAATGGTGATGTAGTGGTAAAATAGGAGTGATAATAAATTATGATGACCATAATGATGTCTTTATGATGTAACTTTGACGATAATGGCTTTTTAATAATTACAATGATGATGGTAGTGATGACTATGATGATGATAACCATAATTATTATGATGATGACGATTATGACGATGAAATATTGCTGATGAATTCAGACGATGATGAAATCGATTTTTTTTAAATGCAAATCATTGTGGTTGTGAGATGATGACGACGACGAAGATGATGGTGAGGTGAAGAGGAAGAAGATAATGATGGTGAAGAAAAAGAAGAAGATGACGATGATGGTGAGGATGATGATGACTAGGCAGTGTTTTGTTCGAACATCTAACACACCTGTGCTTATGTTCACGCATATTATCTCTAGAGCGATGATCGTACCGATGATGATTAAGATAATCATAAAATAATAATTATCATTATTAAGATATAATAGTAATTGTAATAATAATTGAAATGTCGCCTTTAAACGGCATTTGTTCTTAGGCGTTGTCAGAAATCTATCTATCTATCCATCCAATCATCCATTCATCCAACCATCCATCCATTCGTCCGTCCATCCATCCATCCGCCCACCTAGAAAATAAAAAATAAAAATAAAAAATTTGTACATAATTTCTGAATTTTTTTGTTAGCCCAAATTAATCTAAACCAATTTCCAAGACGTCTGAGTTCTAAAAATAGACACCTACTCAAACCACGTGTTAGTGAAAGAAAAAGGGTACGTGTGACTATCTTGATTATTGTACAATAAAAAACTTAGGATTTAGTCATTTCCTTGTTTGTTGTCCGATTCTTCCGTCTATCTATACATTAGGCAATTATTCATCCATCCATCCATCTATCTATAATATAGATAGATTCTATATATATATATATATATTTATATTCATTATTGATTTATTCGTTCGTTCGTTCGTTCGTTCATCCATCCATTCACTCACTCACTCACTCACTCACTCACTCACTCACTCACTCACTCACTCACTCACTCACTCACTCACTCACTCACTCACTCACTCACTCACTCACTCACTCACTCACTCACTCATTCACTCACTCACTCTCACTCACTCACTCACTCACTCATTCACTCACTCTCACTCACTCACTCACTCACTAACAGCAACATCAACCAGAGCAACAAAAACACAAACACAGACTAGACTAATTAGCAAAGAGGACGATTTAACTTTCGATATTGTATAATATATAGTCAGGTCAGATCGGTAGCAATCGAGCCGGTGATTCTCCAATGCATGCTTACATTCAATACAGTCAGCTGAGTGCATTTGAATTTCAAATTTCTGAAAAACGCGTCATCATCACGTCATCATCCCCATCATCATTATTATCATATCTTTAAAAGTGGAATTAAATTTAAAATTTGTTTACATCACTGATTGGTTTTGAGCGTTTTATAATATTGTATTGTTACTAATATTAACAATTCATTAAAAGCATACTCGCCATACGATCCATTGCAAAACGTGTATTGATTGTATTATAATCTGTTACTGAATTTTGTATACATATAAATGTTTATTCATTAACTCATTTTTTCATTCATTCATTCAACCAACTAATCAATCATTCATTCATTCAATCAATCATTCAAGCAACCAATCTATCAATCAATCATTCATTAAATCATTCACTCATTCATTCATTCAATCATTCATCGACTAACCTCGCCCTATTCATCATTAAAACTTCCAATCACAGACACAAGAAGAATCAATCGAAAATATTAAAAAATATTCAGAAATACTTAAGAATACGCAGAAATACTCGAGAATACTTGAAAATACTACCGCTGCATAGTATTTATTATACTTCTCGGCGTAATTTGAACTTTTCAAAAAACTTTTTCAAACAGAAGTATGTCGAATACATGAACATCTATCTTTATATATATACACCGGCTAATTTTGTAGCATGAGTGTACGTGTTTATATAAATATATATATATATATAAATATATATATATATATATACACATATATATATATATATTCGTGTTGTTTAACATATGATGTGATAAAATATATGATGATGATGAACTTTTAATAATAAGATGAATAAAAAAATAACCTTGATTATATTACTGATACAACATGGCAACAAACACAACACTGATATCATCGACTGGTATCATGATCGTCATCTTCGTCGTCATCATCATAATCACTATTATAAACAACATCAGTATCATTTTATCATTATCATTGTTGTATCATTATATATATATATATATATATATATATATATATATATATATATATATACACACACGTCATGTTTATCTTTTATTCAACCATCGATACATCATTTCATTTCAATTATTTATTCGAATTTTGTTCATTCATTCATTTAATCATTCATTCATTCATTCATTCATTCATTCAATCATTCATTCATTCATTCCATCATCCATTTACTCCCTCATTCATTCGTTCGCTCATTTATTGACGCATACGTACATACATACATACAAGCACCTTTCACATCTGTGAACTTTAGTACATTTTATAATACTACCAACCAACTCGAACGCCATACTAACGGCCACACATTCAGCATTTAATACTATCTCTACCGTAACTAACCAACCATCCGTTGTTTTCATGGTATGGCCATTTTTAGCGTTACCAACGGAGCGTTCAATTGGCTAGCAAGCAGCCACGTAATTGAAAGCGAAAGTATGCCAGGGTCATGTCCTAATGGGTCACGTCAAGGTCAACTAATGATAATGAGCAATACTGAAACGAACTATGTGGTAAGGATAGATAAACAAAATAAGTTTAGTTTCAAATAAATTTTTATAACATTCAAATCATTCTACTACTACTTCATAAAAAATACTACTGCTACATATTACAT